GCTAGGGTGTGCGTGAGCTGCCAGTGATTCATGGGTGGGTCCCCCTCCAGGATGTGTTGGAGCTGTCTGGCTGCTTCGTCGAGCTCTATGGCTCTCGTTGTGTGGTGCCTGTATGGTGCTGGTGTGCCCTGTTGCTGTGGTGGGCCCCTGGTGTGGGTTTGTGTGGGTGGTGGTTGTTGGTTTGGTGCGGTGGTACTCTGCCTCGTCGGTGCGCTGGTGCGACTCGTTTGGTCCCCCCCGGCTGCTTGGAGGATGGCCCTGCATTCATGCAGGTGGGCTGCTACATCCGTGCCGTTGCTTGGGTTGACCTCTGCCAGTGCTTGGTCGATGTGGTGTAGTGCTTGTTGGCTCGGTGTCATGCTTCCGATGTCCAGTGGTGGGGAACTTGTTTGTGATGGTTGGTCTGGTGGTGTGCGCTTGCCTTTCCTCTGCGCCCGTCTTTTCCCGGTCGTTGGCTTGGGTCTGTGGCTCCGTGGTTTGGTGCTGCGAGGTGCGGGCTTTTGGGTCCCTCTGTTGAGGGTTTTGCTTGTGTGTTGTACTAGGGTGGGTGAGTCAGTGTCGTGTGTGGTACTTGTGTTGGTGGCCGCCGCGGTGGTGGTGGTTGTGTTGGTGGTGTTGCTAGCGGTGGTTGTGGTGGTGGTCGTACCGGTGCTGGCTGCGTTGGCCGCCCTGGCTGTGGTGGTGGTGGTGGTGGTGGTGGTCGGTTGCTCTTCATAGTCTCGCCGTTCTCTCCACCACGCTTGCCAATTGTCCCACCACCATGTGTTGTTCTGTTGCTGTTGGTCGGGGTTGGTGGTTGCAGTGGGCGCCTCTGGTTGTGCTGTGTCCGGCGTTGTTTGCTGTGGCTGTTGTTGTTGGTGTTCCCCTTGTTGATGGGGGTGTGACCGTTGCCATATTCCCTGCGTGTCGTCGGTGGTTGCGGCAGTTGTGCCCGCGGCTGTTGTTGGGGCTGCTGGCTGCTGTTGCTGTTGGTCTGCGTGTGGCGTGGTGTGCCGTGGCTGGTTGGGGTTTGGAGGTGTCGGGTTGTAGTAGGTTTGTGTGGCCTGTGGGGGTTGGCTTGCGCCAGCGCTTGTGTGGCTGTCTCTTGCTTCGCGCCAGTCATACCAGGCATTGTATGTCCAGCCCCCTGGCCCGTGTTGCGGCTGCCATGTGTCTGTGTTTTGTTGGTCGTCTGGCTGGTGTTCCGCTGTGCCTGCTTCGGGGTTGGCCTGTGGCTGCCACTGCTGCTGCTGCGCTTGCTGGGGGTCTGGTTCTGCGTGCAGTGGGCCTGTTGGGGTGGGCCGTGTGTGGTCGCGTTCAGGCGGGGTGGCCTGTTGTGGTGTGGGTTCGCGGTGTGCTTGTGCGGTGGCTGGTTCAGCCTCGGCAGGCTGCGTCGGTGTCGTGTGGTGGGTGTGGTGGCTTTGGGGATCGTTGTTTTCTGGTTCCCCCCACGTGCTTGTCGCTGGCGCGTGCGGCAATGTGTGGAATTGGATCCACGTGTTGGGTTCGAGGCAGCGGTACGGTCCCCCTGGGATCTGCTGGAGCTGCATTCTGGAGGGCGTGTGGTGGACGTGCATGGTCCATACATTGGGGTGTAAATCATCCTGGTACAGGTACCCCTCGGTACACGGCGGCATTCCCTGTGCTGGGTTGTTGTTGGTGTATGCTGCCGCTGCCTGCTGGTTGGCTGCTTGTTCGTCCTCTTGTGAGGGCGGGTATACCGTGATCCAGAAGCCGGAAAGGTACGGCACAGCATGCAGCTCCGTGTATGGTTGGAGCGGGAGTTCCGGCGCCAGGGGGAGATTGTATGTGTCTTCCGGTTGTGGTGGTGTGGGCATCGCGAGTCCTGCTGGGCTCGTGCTTTGTGGGTGTGGTTGTGTTGTTGGTGCTTCTTGGCTCGGCTGCTGAGGTGGGGTCTGGGTGTCTGCTGCCCCCTGTGTCTTCTGTCTTGGCTGCTTGTGCCGGTTGAGCATCTCCTCCCAGTCCTCCTCCTGTGCACTGCCTCCTCCTCCCCCACTGGGGATGTCTATAGTCCATGTTTCGCCGGGGCGGGCTCCGGCTGGGTGAATTCTTCTCGTGTGTTGTCGTTGGTACTGCTCGTACTGCTCTTTGATTGTGGGGTGTTTGTGGTAGTCGGGGTGGTCATACGCTGGTGGGGGTTTGTAAACTCCCCTTTGGATGAGGAACTGTTTCATTTCCTCTTTGCGCTGTTTGTTGCTTTGCCGCTGCTCGCCTTGTCCTCCGTGGGTCCACCTCCATTGTTGCCATTCCTCCCTGGTCCAGATCGGTGTGTTGCTCGAGTGATGAGTTGGGGTGGTTGTGTCGTTTGGTGCCTCAGTTGTGGCTGTCGGTGGATTGCTCTCTGCCAGCGGGCTGGTTTCCTGTGGGTGTTGTTGTGGTTGATCTGGAGGGGTCAGTGGGGTGCGTGGCCGGTGGGCGGATGTGCTTCGGGCGAGCTGCCCGGTCCTGTTGGTTGTGACTGTGGTGGCTGCTGGTCTGGGTGTCCTGCTGCCGTGTGTGGTGGGTCTTGTTGTGGTGTGGTATGTTCGGGGGCTGTCCACGCGCTGCCGTGTGTGTGCAGGGTCCAGCCGTATTGGTTAGTGCCAGGCCGGTACCATTGGGGGGGCTGCCAGTGTGTTTGCCACCACGCGTCCTGTCCCCATCGCCAGCCGGGTTCCCACCATGTGCCCCACCGTGGTTGCCAGTCTCTTGGGGTCGAATGCCATGGCTCTTGTTTCATGGGGCGGTCCGTTTGGCTCTCTTCCGGTGGCTGGTCGGGGGGCGTGGGCTCGTGGTACCGTGGTGGCGGGGACTGGTACCTGGTTTTGGTCGTCTTGGGTGGTTGGGGGGGCGAGCCTTGGTTGGGATATTCTTGGGTGGCTTGTGGTGGTGGTGGTGGTGGTGGTGGATCTTGTTGTGGTGCGTCGGCTCCGGTGGTGTTCGGTTGCCGGCGTCGTCTCTCCTCCCTGTGAATTTCTAGGGTTTCCAGGGGGAAGAATTGTTGGGCGGTGGTCACCAGTGTGTTGAGGTGTGCAGTGGCGATTTGTCCGGTGGTGAGCCACATGTGCCCTTCTTCCTGGGTCATGCCAGGTAGTGGGGGGGTTCCAGGAGGTGGAGGCGTGATGGTCACCAGTTGGGTTTGGTGCTGCGCGTCTGGCGGGGTCCAGGTATTGAAGGGCCAGTCTGTTGGGGTTGTTGCCGCCGTGGCTGAGGACGCTGCTGTCGTTGGTGTGTTTGTTGCCGTGGGTGGTGTGGTGGTTTGCATGTCGTTGTACACCGCCCAGGCGTCGAGGAGCGTGTATTGGTATATGATAGCCTGTTGCAGGATGTCGCTCCAGGGCACAGTGACAGGCGGTTCTGTGTCTGTGGTGGGCGGCATAAGAAGGGAGTGGGGGATCAGATTGGACTGTCCCCATCTCCGCGGCGCGTTGGGCGTATTGGACGGGGGGGTGTGGGTGTGCCCAGTAGGTTGTTGGGGGTTTGTTGTGGTGGTGGTGGTTGTTCTCGTATGCGTGGGTTGTGCTGGTTGTGGTGACTGTGTAGTGGTGGTGGTGGTAGTGCCGGTGGCATCGTGCTGTTGCGGCGGTGGTGGGTGTACGTCTGTGCTGGAGGCGCTGGGTGTTTCTCGTTGGTGCGGTGGTAAGGCTTGGTGAGTGTCCGTACTCGACGAGCTCGGTGTTTGTTGTTGTGGAGGTGGTGGTGGTGGTGCCGGGGTGGTGGGCCTCCCTTTGGGCCCATATGTGGGCAGGATGTAAATCGTGACTTGGTTGGATGTCAGGGCTTCTGATGCGATGTGTGCCCTTATGCTAACCCCCCTTGCCAGGTGCGGGAAAGCTGCCTGTACCACATCTGCTTCTAGGGCTGTGGGTATTGGGTGGCGCCGTCTCATTGGTGCATGGGTGGCTGCGGGTTGGTGTGGTGGTGGTGGCGGTGGCCTGTGGTGCCCGCCCTGTGCGTATGGGTGCGGGTGGTGCTGGTTGGGGTTGACGGGGGTGGGTGGGGGGGGTCCGGCTGCTTCCGCGGGTGTGAAGGAGAAGGTGGTGGTGGAGGTGCTTGTGGTGGCGGTGTGGCTGTGTTCGTGCGCTGACACTTGCTCCTCCTGTGTCGTGTTGGTGTGTGGTACAGGATGAGCGGGCGTGGTGGTGGTGGTGGTGCGTGTGTTCGCCGTGGTGGTGGTGGTGGTGGCGGTGGTGGTGACAGCGGTGGAGGTATCGGTGCCGGCTGTGTGTGTAGCGACGGTGGTGGTGGTGTGGGTGGCGGGGTTGTCGGTGCAGCTGTTGGTTCCTTTGGGTTGTGCAGTGTGTGAGGTCCTGGAGGGCGTCGCCATCGGCGAGCGCGGGCTCGTGGTGCCCGACGACTCTTGGGAGGGTGTGGTAGTCGATGCTGTGGGCCTTCTGGTAGTGGTCGTTGAGGTGAATCGGGTAGTCGGTGGGCTCGCGGGGCTTGTCGTGGTCGTCGATGTAGTCCCCGCAGTCGGTGGGCTCTCTGGACTTGTCGTAGTTGTCGCTGTAGGTGTGCCCGTCCATGTCCCCCCTGCGTTCGTGGTGTTGTGGGCGGTCGGCGTCGTCCTCGAAGTGGATCGGGTAGTCGTCGAGGTGCTGCAGGATGTCGTAGTTGTCGGCGTAGTCCCCTCCGGTGTTGTTTCCATGGTAGTAGGCGATCGGGTGGATCTGGTAGCCGTCGGGGTCTCGGGGGATGTCGTTGCCGTTGTTGTAGGCTCCCAGGTAGTTGTCATTGTGGTGGATCGGGTAGTCGGTGGGGTACTGGGGGATGTCGGTGTTCTCGGTGTAGTCTCTGCTGGTGGGGCGGTCGTGCCGGTCCGTGTTGGAGGGGCCACTGTTGGCGTTTTTCCCGTTGTTCCGGTGTCACTGGTAGAAGACGATGGGGGGAATCGGGTAGTTGTCGGGGTACCGGAGGGTGTCGTAGTAGTCGTTGTGGTTCTGGTGCCGCTGGTAGAAGACGATGGGGTGGATCGGGTAGTCGTTGCGGTACCGGAGGGTGTCGTAGTCGTCGTTGTAGTGTTATTGGTGCTCGTCGATGTGGTGGATCGGGTAGTTGGCGAAGTGCTGGAGGCGGTTGTAGTCGTCGTTGTAGTGCCCCTGGTAGTCGTCGTTGTGGTGGATCGGGTAGTTGATGGGCCGGTGGGGGTTGTCGAGGTCGTCGTCGTAGGCTTCGGGTTGTCGCACAGGTCTTGTTGGCTTGCCGTTGGTGCTCTGGAGGGCTTTGGGTCTCCTGTTGAAGCTTCCATTGTCGTTGTGGGGGGCGGCCCCCACCAAGTCGTTGTTAGCGCGGTGGATCGGGTAGTAGGCGGCGTCGACGGGGTACTCGTAGTCGTCCATGTTGCTGGGTCCCCCAGTCTGGTGCCTCGCGATGTTGGCCATGGCTCCCCCGGGGGGTCTGTCGTTTCGCCCTTTCCCTCCATGGTGCCGAGGATCAGCGTTGTCGCCAGGAGGTGCCAGCAGCGTATCGCCATGGGCTGCGGGTTGGCGGGCCGCGAGGGTGTGGGGCTTTTGGTCTGTTTTCAGCTGAAGGCTGCACATATGGAGGTCTGTCTTAAAGGGTGGCTCTCTGATCACAAAAAGTGGCTCACTTTGGGTTCGTGGGGTTCTGGGATTGTGCTGCGCGGGAAGCCGGTGGTAGGGTTAGGGCAAGGTCGCTGCGTGAAGCCAGGAGTGGTTGGGGGAAGGGCAGGGCTGCGTACTGTCTCCACTGCCTTGTGGATCATTCGTGTCAGGCTCTGTCCCTCAACGCTCTTAGCTCGGTGGCAGCTTGCTGCTTCCTTTGGTGGGGTGTGTGGGAGTGAGAGGGGGTGAGATTGCCTATGGCTTTCTGCCTGCCTGATGCCCAGGGGGTGTCAAAGCGTTCGACGAACTTTGTGGAAAGCCTCCTCCATTCCCCTCGATCCTGTGCCACCTCCACCCAGTTGTCCCCCCCTATGGTTGCAAGGTGGCGCTCTGGGTCAAGGTTCGGGTTGAAGCGTTTGGCATGTCTGGCCCCCCCCCGCTTTTTCTGCTCCCCCCTCCACCACTGCATGTTTTTCCATAGTGCAATTTGTTTGGTGGGCCCTTCTCCGCGTGCTATGTGCCCGGCCAATGACCAGGTGCGGTGAAGGGTGTGTGTGCTCCATCTTTGGACGTTGTGGTACTGAAGGGCGAGTCTGGCGAGGCGTAGGGTCCTGGTGTTCCACTCGGTCCAGCTTTCAGTGGGTCTTCGCCTGTGTCCCATCATTTGCCTCACCTGTCCCAGCTGTATGGCGTTTGCTTGGCGTAGCAAGGCGTCGTGCGCTGGCCATGTGGAGCATCCCCACAGGGCTGTGTTACGGATGTATGTGTCGTGCAGCTGTAATCTGGCTTTGAGGGGGGTGGGTGCGCATAGGACTGGTTTGCGCATGTGGAAAGCCCGCCTAGCTCGTCCCCCCATTTCTGCTGCTATCGCCGCTGTGGTGTTGTCGAAGCTGACAGGTGATCCCAGCACCGTAAGGATGGTGTCCCCCCCTTTGGCCGCCACCTCCTGCCCCCCTATGATGAAGGTTGTGGATTCCGTCTGGTTTGTTATGATGGCTGTCTTTCCTGGGTGGATGGAGAGCCCTTTCTTCTCCAGTCTGGTTTCAAGGTGGGTGAGCTGCGACTGCAGGTGGAGTTTGTTGTTGCTCCAGAGGTACGTGTCGTCCATGAAGGCTCCCCCATTGATAGGGCATTGGGGGTGCTGTGGTGCTCTCCCCGCTGCTTGCGTGGCCTCATCCAGTGTGTCTCCCACCAGTGAGGCGAACAGTTCGGGGCTGTCGGGGGAACCCTGGCGTACGCCATTTGTTTGTTGGACCGGTGTGATCTTGTCCCCCACCGCCACCTGCAGTCCTCTTGCTTCGATGATTCCCAGCCACGCCCTCGCTTCCCATGGGTGCCCTCCCTTGCCACCCACCTTGTCCCTCACCATTTCCCCCAACGCCGGTTGGAGCACGGAGTCGAAAGCTTTCCGGATGTCGAGTTTGACGATGTAGGTGGGTTCCCCCCAATCTTTGGCCAGTCTGGCTACGCGGCGGAGAACCCAAATCAGCTCGACTGCTTGTCTCCCCGGTGCTGCCCATTGGAGTGTGCTGGTGGTGAGCTGCCCCCGACATCGCTGCAGGAGAAGCTGTGCGAACCATTTAAGGATGCTACTGCTGAGGGTGATGGGTCTTGTGTTCCCCCACGTGGAGGGTTGAGCGGTCTTGGGAAGGAGGACTGTGATCCCCTCCGCGATTTCCGGTGGGATTTGCCCCATGTAGAGTATGTCATCCATGATCTCTTGTAGTGACTGGGTCCAAGTTTTGGTGGTGAGCATTTGTTGCAAGGCTTCATGTGAGATGAGGTCCGGCCCGGTGCTTTTACGGGGTTGCCAGGTGGCTGTCGCCATTCTGAGCTCGGATTCCGTGAAGGGTCTCCACGGGGTGTGCTTGCATTGCTTGGTGAGTTCCCAGTGGATTTCCCCTATGGCTGTTCTGGTGGCTGTTGGGTCTGCTTTGGCGAAGACTCCTTGCATGTGTTCTTGTAGGTGCCGTTGCCACTCCGGGTCGTCCGTGAGGCAGTGTTCCCAGCGGCGTGTTTTGTGGAGGTGGTCAAGTGTGCGCATGGCTTTCCAGTTGTGTCTGCTGGCTTGTTCCACGAGGGATTGCTGCCACGCTTTGTGTTCCTGCTTCCTTTGTTTCTGTACACACTTCCAGGCTTGCCTCCTTTCTATGCCTGGGGGTAGGCTGTAGGCTTGGTGTCGCGCGGTTCTGAGTTCTGGGCTTTCGGTGTATGGGGCTGTTCTCCCCGTGCAGGGTTCGGTGATGGCTTTAGCCGTGGCTCGGACTCGTTCGTATAGCGTAGTGTGCCTGCCGGGTTCGGTGCAGTGTAGGTGGTGTTGGACGATGGGGGGGGCTCGTAGGCGACGTGCCCCCCAAGTCGTGGCATTGGGCTTGCATGGGTTCCCTGCCGGCAGTGTTGTGGAGATGGGCTCGTGATCCGAGCGGGCCAAGTCCCTGAGGTCCTCCACTTTGCATGGTCCGAGGCGCCCTCCTTTGACCACAATGTAGTCTAGCCGCCTGGGCGACAGTGCCTGGTTGTAGGGGAAGTGGGACGGTTTGTGGAGCTCCTGAGGTGGAAGTCGAAAGGAGAGTTCCGCAAGGACATTGAGGATTGTGTCGCCTCTCCCCGTGTCTCCATATTGGGACGTGTTCCCTTCATGGAATGCCTCGTTGGCGTCCAGCCCGATGATGCATTTGGCTTGTTGGCATGCTTTGGCTTCGCCCCAGTGTCTAAGTTGTTGTTCCGCTGCTGCAATGGTGGCATTCCAGGGGATATGTCCAGACAGAATCCCCACTGTGCTTGTGTGGTGGTGGTGGTGGTGGTGTGGTGGCGGTGCTTCTGAAGGAAGGTGAAGGTGGAGTGTGGTGCTTATGCCTCCTTCGTGCAGTGCGGTGTGGTGATGCGTTCCCAGCGACAGCCGATAACAAATGGCGTTCCCTCGCCACGCTCCCTCGCACTTCCCATAGACGATTTTCCATCTCTCGTTTCCATCGAAATGCAGTCCGGCATCACAGATCACCTCTTGGACCAGGAGGACATGCAGATCCCTTAGGGATGGTGCCCCCGTGAGTGTTTCACAGAGGTCAAGTATATGTGGTACTTGTAGTCCCCCCACATTCCAGGATGCGAGCACGTATTGGCCCCCATCTGCTCGGTGTCTGCTTCGGTGAAACTTTGGACCCCCCAATCATAGGCCTTGGCGGATCCTCTCCCAGGTGCTCTGCACCGTGGCGGGTTCTTCGCGGAGGAGTCGTGCTACTTCTTGGAGATGGATCCAGCCTGCCCCCGCGGTCGTGGTGTTGGGAGGGGCTGAGGCGGTGGCTGAGGCAATTTTGACCCCATTGAGCCACACTGTGCCCGTTGCAAACTCTGCTTCCACTCGCCGGGGATCTCCTCCATGTTCCAGTGCAAGTCGTTTGGCTTTTCCTGCGAGTTTAGCTTTGGCTCGGCGTTGTGGGCTTTGACTTAGGGCCAGCCAGAGCTTTTGGTGTCCCCCGTCTGCTTTTGCCCCCAGAATGAGGTTGGCGTTGCGGACTTTCTGGAGGGCATTCTGGATGCGCTGACGGTGTTGTTCTTCACTCTCGTCGTCCTTGGGGCGTATCGGGATGATGGCATACCCCCGTCGAATTCCGGGGACGAACGCCCCCCCCATGTCAATGTCGAGCCTGAGTTGACTGGCTGTGTTCTGCGCGTTGTGGAGGGTCTCTGAGGCTGGTGTGTCTTCGGGCCATCCCCCCATGATGAGCGCAGGTTGGCGGCGTTCTTCTTCCCCCGAGGACGATCCCGATGTTCCTCCTCCCAGGGTGCCCCCATTCAGTTGCCCGAACTTCCCTTCAAGAAGGGTAAGCCTTTCCTTGAGTCGTTCTTGTTCTTGAGAGATCTCGTCCGTGGCGGTTTGCTGCTGCTGTTGGGCCTGGTCAATGCGGTGGATGGTCTGGGACTGCGCCGCGTGGAGAGCTTGGAGTTCTTGGAGGATGCGGGCAGTGTCCCCCATTTGGCTTCGTACTTCTGAGCGAACTTCCCCAAGGATTTCCATTTTGAGCTCCCGCCGTTCGGATCTCAGTTCCTCTTTGATGGCTGCTCGGATGGCGTCCAGGGACAGGTCTTCTTTGTCTATCTTCCGCTTCGCCCCCGGGGAGCCGTCCAGGGTCGTTGCCTGTCCTGTTCCTCCTGCCCCCATTGTCTGGAGTAGGGTGGACATCTCGTTCTCGGTGTCCCTGCCAAGTCACGTTCTTTACCGTGTACTTCCCCCTGGCGGAGTAGACGCCGATCAGGATCTGGCTATCCCCCTCCGAGTCGCAAAGGCCGCCGATCACGGTGGTGTAGCAGTTGTCAGTGTCCCCCGCACGCCTCAGGTAATGCAGGAGCGCGGCCAGCAGCGGTTGCCGTTGAGCTTCGATCCCCCCGGCAATGATGGTCCGAACCCCCGGCTGGAAGACGCGTAGGAGGCCCCTTCAGGTAGTGGAGCTGGCTCTGCTATGCAGGCGGGGCGGCTGTTTTGTCAGCGGAGGCCCCCTTTCTCTCTCTCCCTTTCCTCTACCCCCCTTCTCTCACTTTCAGACTACAGGTGTTTTGATTGTTTGCCCACAGGACGGTGGGCTGGGGCTCGAGCCGCTTGAGCCAAAATGGCTACACTACTTCTCACTTCTCTCGGAGAAGGCTCGAAATCTCGACAGTCTGAGTTTGGGCCCAGAAGCGGTGCCCAGGGAACGCTGCGACCTGCAGGCCCTGCCACTCCAGCTGGCCCTCAGAGCAAAGGACACAATAAAGGACCCAATAGTGACACAACGATGCTCAGTGACTCTCCGTGGTCAAGAAGAACCCCACTGCACCCCTCGAAATTGATTCCCCTCTGTAAAACCCCTGTGGTGTACCCTAACCCCTAACCCCTAACCAACCCCCTTCCCCCTTTTGGCCTTGAAGAGCGCGTACCCGTCCATCGGGGGGGCGCGGGAGGCGATGGGCGCGTAGAGGCCGGTGCTCGAGTCCCTGAGAGAGCAATGCTGAGGACATGAGCTCCGAGATCTTCTGAGCGGAAGCTCTCACAAAAACAAGAGCTTTTTTCTTTTGCAAGTGGGATTTTTTTTTTTTTTGTGCGGGGGGGGGGGGGGGGGGCGGTTCTTGGGGGGTTCCTTCGGTCCGTTCCTTCTGCCCTCAATGCCCGAAACAAGGCCCCCAAACCCATCCAAACCGTGGGCAGCTCGGGCCGCGGCGTCAGTGTGTGGTCCTGGTACTCGATGTGTTTCTTGCAAATCTGGCAGCGGGATGCCAAGCGGCAGGTGAGCCCGGGGGATCTCCCAAAAATCCTCAACCCGAGACCCCAGACCACTGCCTCATAAACTTCTCAACTACAGACACGCACCCCGAAACTCCTCGAGAGTCAGGGGTCAGAAAGTGGAAGATGGTGGAAACTTTCAAAAGGGTCAAGAAGGGTGGGGAGCTTTGTTCTTCCCCACCTTCGTTTCGCTGTCGTAAGAAGCTGCCCTGCAGTCCTTCAGGTTTCAGGGTTTGAATCAGGCTGCTTGGAGGCTTAGAGTCTGAGAGTCTGGGGCTTGCAGGGGTTGGGACTGCGCGTTCTTCATAAACAAGCGTCAACCCTGTCCGGGACTCATCTACTCCGATGTTTTTAACCACGGCGGATCTTGCAGCTTCAGCGGACCTTCACATTACGGACTTGGGAGAAATTCGTTCTCCCTGAGCGGCGAAGGGCGTCCTGATCCTGGCAGCAGCGCTGCTGGCCTCAGCTTCTGGAAGTCAGAGTATGAGCCCCAGGCCCCAGGGCTCTTGGGCTCTTGACATTTGCAAATCCGCTCAAACACGGCGCAGCGGTCGACGGAAAATCGGTAAATTGGAAACCAGAACAGCAAAATCGGAAACCAGAGCTGAATCGAAAATGAAAGCGGAACATTTCTGAGGCGGCCAGTTTCTGGCATGCTGCCTGATTCAGGCTGGTTTCTGACTCTTTCACTGATCCCTGACAGCCTTGTTTAGGCATCTGTTAAAAACCAAACGCCCGAAAGCCTGAGCCGAGAAGCATTCCTCCCAGGAGTTGTAGGTCTGCAGGCCATCAATCAAGTTCTCATCCGTAGCTTTGCCTCCAAGTGCATCGGGTGTCTAGGTCTCGCAACCCTCGAGCTCTGTCCTAAATACCCCCATAGCACCCAAATTCCCCAAAAAGACCCGGCCTGTCACGACTGTGCCCCAGGAGCAACCCAAGGCTTCGGAGCAGGCGGTGTCGTTGAACTTCCCGAGGACCTGGGGGCGGGGGGACGGGGGTGGGGGGCATCGGGCAGATCGCACTGAGTTTTCGCAATGCTCGCAATGTTGGGGGTTGGGGGCTTTGGGGGGCCGGCGGTGCAAGCCTTACGGCTCTCGTCCACAACCCTGAAACCCTGGAGCCCCGGAGCCCCCGCAGCCCCCGGAGCCCCCGGAGCCCCCGGAGCCCCCGGAGCCCTCTCACCTTTCCTTTCTGTAATCTGGTTGGGGTTTGTAGGATTCCAGGCTTGAGCTAACACCCAATGCCTAGGTCTTGGCCCCACCCCCGCGATGCTGGGCTGGCCGGCGCAAGGAAATGGATAATCGTCCTCCAGGGGCTGGCGACGAAAGGGAAAACCACGTGCCGTGGGCATGCATGTCACCATAGACGATCCCTTCTGAGCATGCATGCAGGGGATCCTATCCAAACGTTTAAGTATCGGGCATTGACGCCGCATCTCCTCAAAACCAGAGGTCGGCTAGTGCTCAGGGCATGAACCGCCCTGTAGAGTTCCCGTGGGTCTTTAGAGGGCTTGAAGAGCCGAGCCCCGATTAACCCCGGGCACCTCCATCATCTCTTCTGACTCGGTCTCGTTGCTCAAGTTCCCGTGGAAGGCGGTTCGGGTGCTATACTGGGCCTGGCACGAAAAACCATGCAGGTAGTGCCGGCCTGAGTCTGACCCGAAAACAACAACGTGGTTGTAAATCTCGTCTGTTGTCTGCGACACTGGGTCTGATGTCGGACTCACGCCCCAGATTCAAATGAGCAGAATACCAGACATCACTTGATCACGAAAAAGTTATGCCTAAAACAGGCCGCATGACTGAATCCCCAACCCCCTAAACCCATCCCCAAACTCCTAAGCTGAAACCCTCAAGCAAGCCGACCAGGCCCGTATGCCCGTGACAGACAGCGTCGCGGAGGGCTCCATGACAGGTGTCTGCGGTGGACATTGGGATATTCGTGCTTTCTCGGGTGCATGGCGCTTCACTCTCATGGGTTGTCGGGTGGGTGCGGACGTAGGTGGTGGCAAGATATATGGCCCTAAGCTCAGTCCTCAAGCGCCAAAGCCCAGAAAACGCAAACGCCGCATCTTTCCCCCCAAAGCCCGTTTCATTGAACCCCAACGGATGCGGAATTGGAAGAACCCGAGACCAGATTCCCGTCCCCAAGGCCTTAAAGTCTCAGGGCCCAAGAAGGCCTCAAACTCCTGAAAGCCCTTCGAAGGCCCATCTCCCCCCCCCCTTTTTTCAGTTCGGCACCGATGGAGGCTCCGGACATTTGCACTTTGGGAGGTTCTCGGTTCCGGTCCTTGCAAGAGTCACGAGGCTCTGCCTCACCAGCTCTGCCTCACCAGCTCCAGGCTCCCCTTTCAAAACTGATGTGAAACTCTCGAAGAGGCTCAGAACTCAATGTTCCGGGCGCGCTTGCGGCGACGTCCGCCGAAGACAAACTTCTCAAAGCGGAAAAAAAGCCTACCGAAATTAATTATCACCTCCTGCCTGATGGCAGGCGATGCACAGACGCGGAAAGTTTCCACCAAACCCGCTGAACCCTGCACGTGGGCCGTGTGGGACTTTGGAGGCTTCGGAAATCCTACCCATGATCCTTGTAGAGTGCCATCTACGGAGTGGAAACTCACCATGCCGTGTGGCTTCCCACACGCCCCGTTTCGGAGACTTGGGATCAAAGGAATCAAAGGACTCGCTAGTGAGTCCAACAGAATCCCGCATCACACACTGGAAAGCACCTCTTCAGGGGAGCCGGGTCTGAGCATCCCCGTGTGGTCCCAGGGCAAGGGCGCCCCACCATCCAGCGGCAGCAACCTGGGCTGGAAGGGATTTTGAGAACCCCTCAAGTTTCACTTCCCGGGCGTTGATTGAATTCGGAGTGTATTCGGAGTGTTTCTGGTTGAGGGGATTGGTCGATGTACTCGACGAAGTCGGTGTGGAGCATCGAGGATGTCGCAGACGCGCGTTATACTTTTCAGGTGCTTCGGAGAAACGGGGATCTCGAGGTTCTGGGTCCGGGCGGCTGAGGGTGTGGGGCTGTGTCCATTTCGGGTGCAGGTGCTGGGTGTCAGTGTCAGGGGGCAGCACTCCAAAACAGCTTAGGGCAAGACTTTCTATAGACAAAAGCCGTTGTTAGACTTACGGAGGCCGGCTGCTGCTGCCTGTTCGCCCACTGCTCGCAAGAACTGTAGGCTACTCTGGGGTTGGGCAATCCAGTGATTCTCTGAGGTTACTCCAGGGCTAGGCACGGGTTGGGCACTCAATGGATTCTCTGGGGACACCCCGACATTGGGTTTCGGGACATGGGCGAGGAATAGACCAAGAGTGGAGCAGAGTTTAGGCTGGTTAAACTTGGCAACCCCACACCGAGGGTGGGGAACAAACACAGCCAAACAAAGCAAAGCAAGGCAAGGCAAAACAAAGCAAAGCAAAACAAAACAAAACCTCAATCGCAAATCAACAAGCGCAAGCGACAGACAACCAAGGATAAACAACCAACGACAAACAACCAAGGACAAGGACGAGGACAAGAACAAGGACGAGGACGAGGACGAGGACAAGGTAAAACAAAAACAGGGGCTCCGCCAAACCACCATTTCTACCTGTACTTTCTACAACTGGCGGAAACAAGGACAGGGACCCTGTCTGTTGCCTTAACCCCAGCAATCACCACAGCAGCGGCAGCAGCTGCAGCAACAGCAACAGCAACGGCAAGATCAACTACGACAAAAAGCAGCAAAGGCAACAACGGCAACAACAACACCACCAGCAGCAACAGCGACAGCGACAGCGACAGCAACAGCAACATCAGCGTCAAGGAACTCTCTGGCCCTTGTCAACACACCTCAACTAGAAAAACCACTGCGGCGAGTGTAAAGCTGGCAGGGAGCTCGTCGAACCAGATGGCGGTCTCACTATACCTCCGATATTCGATGAGAGCTTTAGGAGGGTTAAAAGAGACTGAGAGAGGGCTTCTCATTCGGGAGCGGATGTCTAATTTCATCGGGGCCTTTCCGGTTTCAGGTTTCAGCGTGTCTTTCCTAGCGCCCTAGGGCCTTGAGGAAACCTTTGAGAGCGAAGAATGTTGAAAACTTCGCAAAGGAGCCGCAAGAGCCTGCAAGAGCCTGCAAGAGCCCGCGATACTATAGAGAGAGAGAGAGATTCCTTCCAAGAGATATACTCAACCCCAGTTGTCCCTCAAGCCCCTCGACTTCCATAAAACTCAAAAACCCCCAAGCCCTGAGCTTTGAATCTCTTGCCGGAATGATGGCCCAGGCGCTTGGCGAAGAAGACCCTTCCGATCCAGGCTGGGTCCCGGCACTGCAGGAATCGCATAACGAAGGCTTTCTGGCCGTTCACCATCTCCACACCCGTGATCTCCACCTTCAATGGCAGCCAGTGGGGAGCTTCATCAAGGAAATTCTGTGCAGGCCGGACGGAAAGCAGGGTTGGAGGCCTCAGGGCATTGCAGGAACGAGCTCTCAGCCCAAACTCATGAAGAGGGGAAGCCTGACGGGGCCGCGGCGGCCTCGGTCTCAACCACAAACCCCTCCCCCCCCCCCGAACTTCATAAACCCCAAACTCAGTCCTAAATCCCGAACTGAAGCCCTCAACCCACCCAGAAAATTCCCGAAAACTTGCCCCAAACAACATCGAGAACTTCGGGGGGCCTTGCCGGGCGTGCAGGACATGGACGGGCCGCGGGCGGTTCTGGCCAAGCCCGAGGACTGCCGGATGGCATCCTGGAGTCCCCGAGTCCGAGTGAGTCCGAGTCCGAGTCCGAGTCCCCCCGAGTGGGGTTTCCCTATTCTTGGGGTGCTGTTGAGCTTTGGGTTTTGTTGGCTTGGTTTTGGGCTTTTGGGCTTTCAGGCCCACAGGCTGTGGGAGGAAAAGTCTCAAGGGCATCCAAGCATCGGCATAGATCTGATGCGCCTGGGCTAGGGCTTCTGAGAACGGAAACCGTCCTGTCAACCCCTTGAACGCGAAGCTCACCGCACCTGCAGCTTTGAGGGGCGGGGCTGGGGCCAAATCTGGCACCTTAGCACAGTAACTCCAATCCCAGGCGCTCGAGCCAGCGGTATGCTGAAATAGTCTTGGGCCCCAGTGTCCCTTGCGAGGAACCTCACGTGCAACAGTCGGCACTAAGATAAGCCACTGTCCAAACCGGAAAGTGGAAGATAACAGGCTTAGAGTGGCCTGACATACGAACATCGATCCCGAAAGCCTGTCGTTTGAAACGTGGCCTAAAATACACCCGCCCTAACATGTAATTATGTGCATGCGTGTATATCTATGTCTTCTTCTTCTGCTGGGCATGAGCAAGCCTGAGACATATGTCTCTCTCCCTCTCTCTCTCCCTGCACACACACACACACACACACACACACATGTACATAGATGATTATATACATATACATATACATATACATATACATATACATATACATATACATATACATATACATATACATATACATATACATATACATATACATATACATATACATATACATATACATATACATATACATACATATATACATCTTTATCTATTCATGCTTATCTTTATTCGTCTTTAAATATGATCCCAGGCTCCCGGCCGCCACCCCCCCCCTCCCCCCATCCTCGTAACTGACGATTGACAAGGAAGGAGCTCTCAGGGCCGAGGGGCATGTAGTACGGGATGATGCCAAGCTGCACCTCCCTCTTCCTTGACTTGGTTTTGGGGCTCAGGGATTCTGACCTTTTTCGGGGTGTGTAGTTTTGTCTCAGAGTTTAGTAGTGCCTGGGCCGAGCAAACCCTTCAGACCCCTGGGACCCCCAGAGCCAACGTGCCGGCAACGCGGACCCAATCAAGGCACAACGCCATGAACGCAAAGCCCTTCACGTTTGATGTAAGTCACCCGAGAGGCCAGTAGCCTCTAGAGCCCTGACATGCAAAGCCACCAATAGTTGGGACTGGAGGTCTGGAGAACTTCTGGAATCTATGCAAGGCCTGGACTGCAGGAACTTGCGGTATAGGGCATTGGCCGGTGAGCGGAGGCGGGGGGGGGGGGGGTGTGCTCTTGAGGTCGAGGAAACGGAAGCATGGGACATGCGGCCGAGCTTCCACTTTTTGGCCCAGACATCGGCATCGTCATTGATACCCTTCCTCAAAAGTCGGAAGATGCTGAAAGCCATGAAAAAGAAGAGCCTGGCGCCCTCAACAGCTGCGAGGGTTTCAAAAAGCATCCAAGCTTTGCTTTGGTTTTTGGGGAACCTTGTGATGGCTTGTGCCTTGTGGCTTCATCCCACTGACATCCCCAAACCAAGCCACATAATGGGCGACTGCGATCGGATCGTTGCACCTCAAGGCTTCTTTCTGTGCTAAAGCCCCGAGCGGTCTGGACACCATTTCTAACTCCAGTTGACTCGCAGCAGCACCAGCCCTCACCCGCCTGCGGCCTGCAGCACCCGCACAGACTTTTCGGCGTGCGGTGTGCTGAGCTCCACGTCGTGGCTGAGGTGGGCCTTCCAAAGAGGGGCTTGGAGGGTTTGTGTTTTCGGGGAATCGCAAATGCAAGGGAGCGGGTGCTGGGAGGAGCTAAGGGCGTTTTTCTGTTGCCTTAGCGGAGCGCTTGTTCGTCTAGGGTGCTTAGAGGGATTGGGGCTCGGAGCTTTGGATGTTCGGGGAAGGGGGGGGGGCTCGTCTGAAGAGAATGCCACTCAACAGCTTCTCCGAGAGGCCATGATGTCCACAGATCGTCCCCCGACTTCGATCCTTGAGGCGCGTTGCTGTGGGGAGGGGGACTCAGGTTTCACTGAATGTCGAGGTCACTTCTTTCAGGCTCGGAACGGCTCCGAGGCCCCCCCCCACCAACCCCCCTCCTAGGATAGCTAATGGAGTTCACGGGGCCCATAAGACGCGCTACACACCAACCAACCTCTAAGACTCCAAGTCCTCGAATCCTCCCCCCAACTCCCAACCCCCCCATCCAACCCTGTTTTGGTGGCCGAAGCTCAGCTGCTGTATGAAGTCCAGCAGCTCCGCTGCATCCGGGTCGGTCGTGAAACCTTGGGGCTTTCGGGCCTTCAGAGCGTTTGGGGTCTTTTGGGGTCTGTTCAGGCCAGGGATTGGAGCGGTTAAGAAAGTTTCACCTCCTGAACTGGAACACCTCGCTGAAACTGCCGCCCAAAGGCGTTGTGGCCAGAAGGTCAAGGTACGGGTTCCAAATCGCAGGTTCTGAATGTGGGGCAGGAATGTCGGGTCTGCGAACTTGTGCAAGTACCTGCGATGCAAAGGCCCTTACAAGCGGTGGGGGGGGGGATGTATCTTGGCAGCGTGTGTCGTCAGTGCCGTCCATCTTTAGAAAGATGCCCCCGGCATCTGCCATGAGTCCGAACTTCAAACCCTACAGACTCCACCCTCCGAGCTACGAGCCCTAGGATCCGCGGAGAATAAGAGCACACACCCGGGAGGGGGGGCACGTTTTTAGCAGACTGACTCGCATGATGAAGGGATCGCCCCCCGTGATGAGAACGTCAGTAAGCTCCTGCAGATGCTCTTTGCTCTTCGGGCCTGTCATTTTAGCGGAGGGGCGCTCTCTCCCAAGGTACAACTGTAGACTTTGGCCGGTGCCGAGCCCAAAACCCTCCCAGTGCAGTGCAGGCTCCGGGTGCTCGCCGAGATATTTCAGGAAGGCTTCGGCATCCTGCGCCGCAAACTCTCCAAAGGACTGTCAGACCCTCAGACGCCGAAGGGGGAGGAGGGGGAGGGCCTCCACCGCCGGTAGGGTGGCCTGGAGCTGCCCAGGCACAAGACCCTGGCAAGTCCCAATGGGGTTGCAGCTTGCACCCTCTGCCACACCCGACCTCAAACAACTGACACCCCTCTTGAGCCCTCCTTCTGCTTCAGCTGAACGCTGTCGTCGCCAATGAACTGCGCCCATCTGAAGCCTGAGCTCTGAGCTACGAATCGTTCACAAGCTTCAGGGGGTCCGTAGGGCCCTGTGGCTTTCGGGTCCGGTACTGAAAGCTTGGAAGGCTTGGCGACGAAAGACAATCAACCGTTTGCAACCGCTCGGCTCCCAAGACCTTGTAGACCCTTGCACCGAAGAGCGAGACAGCGCCATGGCTCTCACCCAAACTCGGGCTGCTGGTTCTTAGGCTTTCGCCAAAGCGGCAGTATGTGCAGTAGGCGTGGCAAGTCTGCCCAGCTGCAGGGAAGAGCAGGCAAGTCTCCGCATACCTGGCTTTGTAGACAGTCGGAAACCGAATGCAGCCTTACAAATATCCACAGCGTGGCTCCACGGCCTGTGTGGCTGCAAGCTGTCGACATCGCGCCCTTGCATCCCAGTCACCCTGTGAGTGAACACCATTGAACACCTCAACCCAAAACACCCCGCAAAACACAACGCAGGGGCGGCTTGTGCTGGATTCCCTTGAGCTCATCGGTCTTTGGACGGTTCAGCGTCAGCTGCCCAGCCGGCTGTGGGTTCCTAGCGCTTTCGCGTTGAGGATCCGGGGGTGGATGTTGGTGAAAGATGAAGCCTTGTGGCTTCCTTGCTTCCTTTTGGGAGTCTGGCATTTGGGTGCCATGCGGGACATCAGGACCTCGGAGCCGAAGCCGCCAAAATCCGCCCCAAGGCAAAGCCGAGGCACAGATCACTGCGGATGGCTTTGACGGCCTCCTCCAGTGCAAAGGGATCCTGTCGCTTGGAGAGGGTTTCAGGGTGTTTCAGGGCTCAGGACCTTAAAGTCCATCAGGAACAACCTGACCCCAAATTCTAGCACGACCGCCGAAGGTTCTTGCACCGCCTGCTGACACCGCAAGCGCAAACCCTCGATCGTCCTCCAATGCCCTTGCGTCCAGAAGCCTTGGCGCCCAGTCTGGGTGCCGCGCTTGCCGTGCGGGGCTCATAGAATGGAGCTCGTAACATTAGCATAGGCCCTGGATTCTCTGCAAATGAAACCGCCTAACCATCAAACCCGAACTTCTGAAGCTTTAAGCGGGCAAGTGATCCTCCAATGCAGCCAGGGGCTGTTGCTGATGCTTCTGGGACAGCATTTGGAGCGTCGGGAAAAGAAGCCTTCATCCAGTCTTGCGAGGTTGTCTTCTTTGAAGGCGGGAGAGGTGTTTGTTTGCTTTGATGTTTGTTTTGGTGGGGGGGGGGGGGAGGGCAGGGTTTGGAAAGCTGATCGCAGGGTTCTGGGTTTGGGCATGTTTGGGGCCAGAGAATTTTGAGGCAGAATTTAAGGCTTTAGGAAGGCAACCCTTAATCCATCCTCACTCCATCCCCTGTTCAGGCCCAGGTATTCAGGCCTGTACATAGGATCGCTGTCCAGGTCGTCTGCATTCCAGTTGATGAGATGCTCCATCACATAGGAGGAACCTGGGCTAGTTCTTGGAGCTCGTTCCTGCTCATGAGGCAAGCTTGATCATGAGTCGAGTTTTCGACGCCCAATTCAGACCAGAAGCATCGGAAAGGGAACACCAAGGCAGCCAGCTTGATGTCCTCTTCTTGGCACTTTGGAGTTGAAGGTGGAAGCTTTGGATTCGGGATTTGCAGCACTGCAAAACCCCAAAGGCAGCCAATCAAAACCCAACTGTTGCAACATCCCCCCGCAGGACCCTCAAAGCCGAAACCCCAAAAGTTCTTGAAAATCTCAAGCTCTTGACGTCCGCGTCCTGCAGACGCTGAGACAGCTTCAGCTTCTTCTCGCCGGTTGACGCGTCGATCAGCTTTATGAGGAAGTTTTCGACCTGCAGAGAGACACAAGATTAGGAGGCAAATGGGGGGGAAGCTTCGCAAATTTAGAGCGCAGGCTCCAGATGTCATGATAACCTGTCGTTTGTTGTGGGTGCATGGGCTCAATCTTCACCCTCCAAACACAGCCACATACAAGATTGTATGTTGGTAGCTGCGAAGCTAGGAAGCCTTTAGGGGGGGTTTAGAGTTGAGGGTTGCACTCGGCTTGGACAGAAAACGGCACAGGACCGAGCCACATTCTTCGACGTGATGGCACGGAACTTCTCCTCGCAGAGCTTTGCGGGCCCGAGTTTGAGGCCACCCCACACAGCCACACTAAGTCACAGTCACCAGCCCGGCCCCATAAAGCCAATAGCTCCCAAGCGTCCACCGCCGGAGCCGCGACAACTACGTCTTCCAACACGGGGCCGGAAATGGACCTTACGGCGTTTGCGGATCAGGCATGCTCTTTGAGTTGGGAGGGTATTGGGTCTGGGGTTGCGGGTAGATCGTCCAAGGCACGCCGTGGCGACCTCCCGAGTGTGGATTTTCCTGCTCTTTTGCCGATCTCCTCTGGATTTCAACTCCGAGCACTTCAAGGGTGCTGTGGCTTCGAGTTTGGTGAGGCTTCAGGCAATTCGTTTGGTTTCAAGGCTGCGAAATTTAGAGTGACTGGGCGTCAGGCCCAGGATACGGCCGGGGATCTCAGAGATGCCCTTACCCTACCTTCAACCCCACCTCAAAGAACAAGGCCAACAACAAGGCCTCCTGCCAGGCCACGGTTGACCTCAGTTTGCAGAAGCGAAACTTCAGAGTGCTTGGCAAGAGAGTCTGTTGTTCAGGGCCGCCTTGAAGATCTCTGCCGCCCCCACTCCCCCCAACCTGCCCAACACACCCGGAAAGACAGACAGACAGAACATCACATCACGTCACGTCACGTCACGTCACATCACACATGTGCGCTCCATAGCCGAGGAACCAGGGAGAAGGCGCCCGCGCCATCTTTGATGGTCAAGAGCGACGCCGCCAGCAACGCCAACCATCGGAGGATCCCTGGCCTTGGGCGGATCTTCAGTGTGAGGCGCTTGGCATTCCGCTTTTGGCGCCTTCAGGGCGGGTTTAACGTTGAGGCTCCAGGAACGCGCCGGGTTTCTTGAAGGGATTGAGCGCTGAGGGTTTAAGGAAGCATGCATCAACAATCTGCTTCCATCAATATCTCCCCCCCCCCCCTGCCTTACCCTGACATCACGAGGAGACCATTGCAGGCAAGCGGCCGCGGGGCGTGCTTCTTGTAGACCATCGTCTTCATGGTTCTATGACTATGGCTCGAGTAGGGGCCCTAAGAAGACGGGAGCCAACTGCGCGCGGCAAAGTGCAGCTCCGCGTTTGGAGGGGTGCTTCACCCCAAACCTCACTCGTTGTGCTTGCTCCCTGATGAATAAAACATGTACGTCCCGAATTGAACCACAGGCTCCAAGCCGCCCAAGACCATCAACATTCCATCAGCACCCGAACCCAGAAACTTCTGAATGTGCACTCAGCTTCAAGAGAACGCGATCTACACCAGGATTTGGCAGGTAAGCGAGCCCTATAGGGCCCGGGGTCCGCCTCGAAAAAGGAGGCCGAGATGGGCCACACGAAGATGTCGGTGGGGTCGCCATCAGAGATCGTTGTCGCCTGCGATCAAGGCCCCCCCCCCCCCCATTCCCCACAAAAAAAAACAGTTCTTAGAGTCCGGGCAAGCCCTGCACTGACGGCCGTACTGAGTCGTACCAGTACTAACGCCTACGAAACACCACAAACACCGGCCTCCCATCGGCTGCGCATCTGATTGTACTCAATTTCCCAGTCAGGCAGGTTGCCCATGGGCCGCCACATGGTGACCAGATACCTGGGTGGCCATGTGGAGGCTGTGTTCAACGTAAAGATGCTTTCGTGTGACGCTGTCCATCCTGACTCTGTCAGCGAAGGCTTGAGGATCAAGGTTCAGGCGCGTTCAGGGGCTAGAGGGTCCATGGCATCTCGGATTCAGGCTATGGCTCCCGGCCGACCCAAACCCCAAACATCCTCAAACCCTATGCCCTCAGAAAGAAGCCCCCACCCCTCGAAACGCTGGGACCCACACTCGGTGACGGTGTCTTCGCCCCGCTCTGGGCAGCATGCGAGGCTGGGTGGAGTCGATTTGGAGGGCCGATAAGAGTAGTTTGTGTTTTGTAAAAGTCCTTTTGAAAAAAGGAGTCGGATACCAATGATACCAATCGGGAACTCCTGTTTAACACAGCTCGTGAGGGCTCGCTGTCCCAAATCCTGACCTGGCGTTGAGAGGCTAGCCTCGGAGTTACGAAGTGGTGTCATCTGCAGCGTGGACAAAGACATAGAGCAACGAGTCGTTTTCATGCTGGAAGGGCCTAGTCCAGCGCAACAGGATAGGAGGCATAGCATTCGGGAGTCAGTTGAGGAGTGAGGCGAAGATGCCGGTACCACCAGCATGCAATGTCAACAATCGTACGGGGACTACGGGGACGTTTTGCTGCATCTTCAGAAAAAGGCAGATCCTGGGGTTCAGGCCAGTCATGGCCAGTCTAGCAAGCATAACCAGAAGCAAAGACAGCATCAGGAATGCTGCAACCGATGATCACACTCTGGGGCAGCGCAAGTACTGTCCTGGGGAGGTTGTAGATTGGCCCAGATGATGACCGTCACATGGCGCCATCAAGATTCCAAAGCCCATGGCCCATAACCCTAAACCTCCCTAAACCCTAAACTAAACCCTTTCTCGGTTCAACCGACAAGCCTTTTTTAAACGGTCCTCTCCCTGCAAGCTTCTGCAAGCTATTCCGTTGACAGCGAGAGAATCACAGCTGAGGCTCGGTAGCTGTTCATCCACCACGCGTCCGCGTGGACTTGGGTACCGGAGGGCATGACCATGGCATTGAGGGCTTCCGCAATCTGCGCAGAGCAGGATGTAGGGTTCAGGTGGGTTTTCTTCCGCAACTCAACATGAGCGAAAACAAAACTCTCCTTGGCATGAGAGGGTTGAAGGAGATACCGCACAGGCAGCGAGTTAGGAGTTGGACATTGACGGAAGAGATGGGGGCAATGGTGATAGCAAGGCTTCGAATCCCGGGCACTAGCCGCGCAACATGCCCAACGCGGAAAACGCGACAACGCCTCCCAAAGTACAACCCTTCATCAGGTCTGAGCTTCAAAAGCCCTCTGGCCCTCTTGTGCTGGCCAAGGGGCATGCCATTCGTTGTCATTCCATCCGAGCCTGGGCCCAAGCCCAAATTCTATCTCCGAAGCTCTCAAGTTGCCCCCCCCCCCCCCTGCTCAGATGATCAGGGCGCACCCACCTCCATGGCGGTTTGCTTGTGGGGTGTCTAGCTCGCCTTTACGTTTCGCGGTGCGCCCTTGTGCTAGAAGCGCACCCAAGCACGCACCCTAAATTGAAAGGACCCACAACCAGTTTAGAGTTTCCTCCGTTACGGGAGAGGCCCTTCAGGGATGCTGCGACTTACCCCCGAATCCAAAAGGTACCGGACGTGAAGGCCGGCACCTTGGGGGCTTCATGGGCGTTTGCGCTGACTTCGAATCCAGCACGTGCCGAGCGTCCAGTTGCTGAAGGTGGGCTCATCGCGGGGTGTCTCGCGGAGGCCAATGCGCCACCTGGGGCGAGCTTCCCCGCACCAGAGAAAAAAAAAAAACACCAAACTCCTTTGTAGTGCTGCCAGCAGGAACAACGGACCAGGGCCTGTTTAGCCCCCAAAGCCTATACCCTGAGAGTATACCTCACGCCGCGGCACTGGCCGTCGGTCTTCGAGATGAACTTCCGGAGCATCACAAGCCTTTCTTCTCGCAGCTTTTCACTATTCGGCTATTCGGAGCCCTTGCATCCACTAAAGGGTGGCACGGCTCTCAAGGTTCTGGGGTTCAGGGTCTCAGATTGCGGGCTTGGTTTGGGCTTCAGGGAGGTGTGGTCTAAAGAGGCTCGTCGTTCCAGGACTTCAAAGCCCAAGTCTGAGATACTTCAAGCTGTGAACCCTCTAACCGTAAATCCCAAACACTCGCAACCCAAACACACAATCACACCAGAATCCAAAAAATGAGATCGAAACCTGCACATTGAAAACCCTACTTCCGTCAACCCTGCGGAAAAAAGGAAACCACTAAGCTAGCAAACTCTTGGGTCCAGGAGACCCCGGCTTAAACATGCTTAACATTGCTTAACTTAACTGCTTAACTTTTCTTAAACTAATTTTGAGAATTATGCCCCAAAGCCCCAACAAACGTGCAAAACCTCATGTTGTCTGACGATGCCTCGTAATGGGTCGTTCTTGCCTGGCTTCCCCAAAGCTACCAAGCACCAAAAGCTAAAGAGTTGAGTCGCTCTGGCCAGCTTTTCCGCTGCCGCAGCAGGGTCTGAGCAAGGGCGCGCTTGTCGAGGAGGGGAGGAGGCGGAGGGTTCGGATTGACGGCCCCTTTGTTGGTGTGTCGAGTCCTAAGTAGGAGTCGTGAGCTTTGAGGCTTTAAGGCTCTTCGCAAGTGTTCAGGATCTGGAGCCTCAAGGTCAAGAGCTTGGGCTTTGCAGGGCTTCAAAGGGCAGACATCGGAAACAGTCGGAAAATCCTGGAATTGAGGCTGGAAGGCTGGGAACCCTGCCAGATCCTGTATCCTCTCAACCCCTCCAGCACCCTGAGCCCAGTTCGCGGCCTGAGCCTCCCGGGACATGTCCTGGGCTTTTCTGCGGGGGGTTTCGGAATCTCAGGGACTCAGAAACCCGAATGTCCTACACCTCAAACTTCGTAGTTGGCCTTCGCACCGCGGAGCATCTTGCTCAGGATCTAAGAAGGGCTTCGTGTTGAGTTTGGGATTCTGGGCCCTTTTTTAAGCTGGAGGCTCAAGAAGGCCGCGCGTCCCCCAGACCCTTCAACAATCCAAGGCTCGGAGAGGTCCGGACGCTGGATGCGCACCCCAGTGGCCTGATAAGCACGGCCTCAGCAAGGCTTCAAAGTTCTTTCGGGTTTCGGTGTCTAGCTCTTGTTGTTTTGGTGTTGGGAGAGAGGAGGAGGCTAGCCGCACCCAGATCTGGGTTCCACATCCTGCCAGGCTTCACTGCTGAGCATCAGACCCCACATGAACTTAGGACCTTTAGAATCGGGTTGAGTTGAGTTTGGTGCCTAGTTCGGTACCCTGAAGCCAATTGTGCCCCCTCCAAGGCAGAATGATTCGAGAATCCACCCGAAGCTCCTCAACCGCGCATGTGAAAAACTTGGCGTCATCCTTGACAATGCCTCTGCCAAGATGCGACGTCGGCGCGCGTTTGAGATGCCTGTGATCATGTGATCATGTGATCATGTGATCATGTGATCATGTGATCATGTGATCATTCACGCCCAATGAGCTCCGATGGGGACAAGCTAGGGCAACCGACGTCGGGCAGCGGTCGTTGGTGTGGCTTTGGGAACGGCACGCCTTGTCGACCAGCGTCCTCTGGCAAGGCCACGCGCTTGAGGAAGAAGCGGCGCTCTCCTCCGCAGGACACCCCAGATCCCCAGGTGCTCTCAAACGGGGCTTTGCTGGGTTCAGGGGTGGTGGTTTAAGGTGACACTCCCGCGCACACTCGGCATCCAAAGTTTTAAACCTGATCAGGACAGCACTCCGGGATCTCATGGCAGTCTGACAGAGATTTCGGAGCTCTCCTTTCTTCAGGTACACCGTCTTCTCCGCGGGCGTGCGGATGCCCGATCGGGAGATGTTGGTGCCAATGTGAGCCTGGGGCTGCAAACAGCGCGCCCGATGGGCACCGCAAAAAGAAGCCGGTCGGCTTGTGAGTTTAGTGAGAGTTGCGGGGATCCCGACAACCCTACAAACCACAAGCCCGCCCCACCCCCTCCCCCTCCACCCCTCCCCTCCCCCCCCCCCCTCCCTCCCCAAGAACTCCCTGCTGCACGGCGACTACCACTACCACCACCCCTGTACAATGACCCCGCACCCATCCCCACACACTGCCGCCGCTGCACACCCTGCGGATTGTTCAGGCTGCGGAAGTTGTTGAAGATGCTGCAGCCGGTGTAGACATGTCTCCTTCGGCCACCAGACCTGGCCATGAGGAGTCTGAAGGTTTAGAATCTGAGGCTTTGGGGTTCCTTTAGGGTTTGAAGGCTTGGGTTAAGGGTTTCTGCTGTTCAAGATTTGGGTCTTAGGGTCTGGGAGTGTCCTAGGTTCGGGGGGATTAGGGTCCACGCTCTTCGTCGGCAGCGGCATATCTCTCTATGGACAAGAGATTCCATTGCTGACAGTAATTGCATGCCGAGCAAAACTGAACATTACAGAGGTTTGAAGGTCCAGCAGGCCGGTTCTCTTGACTTGCGCCCCATGGTGTTCAAGCCGCTGCCTTTTACATCAGAAACCCCTATCCACTCAGCTCTCAAACTCTGAGCCCTGAACCCAAAATCTGAACTGGCGCAGAATTCCTTCCGGACATCAACCTTGGGTAGTTTGGCCCAGGCTCCGCCCGCCGATGGCGTGATCTTCAATCCATGACTAACCCCCAAACGCCCAATACCATGGGCCTGCAGGGAAGGTGGTCTAGCCTCTTCGCCACGCGCTCCACCTGGTCGTTGAGACTCTGAGATGGGAGGGGGGTGCAAGGGACAGGAAGGGGGAGGCGGGGAGGGGGGGTCTGCATTAGGGCAGCTTTTGCGTAACCTTTCTAGTATGTGCTGCACGTGTTAGCGCCGTTCCCCGCATCTTGCCCGCTCTCTATGCGGCCCGAAGATTCCATGCCAGCCCTGGCTTGGGCGGCTAGTGCAGCGACGATTAGCAGGCTTGCCAAAGCCAAAAAGAACTCACTCAAGAAGAAGAACAAGAAGAAGAGGACCACTCACGCTCTCTGCAACTGGGATCCCGGCGTCTTTGGGATCCTCGGACATACTGAGCCAAACATCCTGGGTACGAGTGCTGCGGGGCTCCAAAATCTCCAAAATGCCCAAATCGACTAGCGACCTAGCGCAAGGCACCGAGAGTAGGAAAGCTCTAGATGCGACCTTCAACTTGTCAAGGGCCATGCGTGCGGAGCCCATAAGCATCCAATGCACTCTCCATTCATCTCTCCACGCAAGAGGTATGCCAGGCACGCCATGCCCATCAACGAACGTCCCGAGAAATCGATAAGCAGGTGCAACACCCCACCCGACCCCACCCCACCTCCAGAAACGCACGAAACCCCGCAGCCAAACGCTGGAGCAGCAGGCCCGCTCGAGACAAGTCTTATGCCTAAACACAAGTTGGAGCCTGGCTCCACACCAAATCACTGCTGAGCAGAGAAATGTGGTACAAGGAACCTCGGGCCCTCTTAAGGGATGATGTAGGGGAGGGTATCCTGAATTCTTTTCTCAGAACGAAACTGCAGGTTTACAGATAAGTTTTACGAATCAAGCCGAAGGTGCTTGCCACAGCTGACCCCAGGTCAAGAAGGAGTACCATCCCGCCACTGGGGCCACAAAGAAGCCCATGATCTCCTCCACCACACCTTAGTAGTCAGGCTGAGTCAGGCTGAAACAAAAGTAGGGAAACTCTGAAACACTTTCGTGTGGGGGCAGGCCTGGGGGTTGACAAAAAACTCTCTCCTAGGTAGCCACATGCTGCCACATGCAGCTGCAGTGCCGTGGTCTCCACTGATGTCGGCGAGGGTGGCGTAAGGGGACTGGCAATCAACGGGGTGAGGAGAAACGGAACAAGACGACATGACATCACTGCCCCCTTCAGAGCAATCTTTAGAAACGTCGTGCCCCAAGCCTAAACCAAAACCTGCTTCAGGCTGCCTTCACGACCTGGACTTCAAAGTGTCCAGGGCAGCTTGGGACGCAGCTTAAGGTTTAGGAATTTAGGGCGCTTCAGGGTCACGCCTCAAGGGCTTGTACTATCCGAGTTGAGCTGCCAGGCTGCTGCAAGCGCGCAGAGGTTGGAACCATATAGTACGAGTAATACTTTCGCTGAAGCCCTCAGCCAGAGATAATGCAGCCCTCAACCAGATAAGCCCAGAGAGCGTCTCAGCGGCCCCAGCCTCGATATTGAAGGCCTTCATGGTGTGAGGGTCATTGTACTTGATGTTCTCGTAACCTGCTTCTCTGGCAATCTGATTGGGTTGCTCTCCAAACCAGCCGTAGGGCCTGGCTCCAGACACTCTTAGCCCCCAAGAAACTTGTTCCGTTAGAGAAGTTCACCAAAGACTCAATCCTAAATCCCCCCTTCACAAATCCAGGCCCTTCATCTCAAAACTCCCACACTGCATTCCAGCCCCAGAATTGCAACCCGCAGATACCCTTCCGAGCCCTCGCCACCCCGGAGGCCGGGTGGCCGAAGGCGCCGCGCATCACGTCGGTCCGGACCATCTCCAGCATCGGCCGCCTAGGCCCCAAGCTATTCGGAGCATTTCGTCCCAACTTTGCGGGATTTCAGGAACATTTTGACCTGCAAAGGCTTTTCGGGCATTTTGGGGTTTGGAATGGCTTGCATCCTTGCTCCTGGAAAGCACTGAGATATACGATCCGAACCTGACATGACCGCGGAAGCGTACGGAAGCCACGGCGCTGCTGGCGGTAGTCCGGGTTCATCGACCCCTGGAGCGCCTGCCATGCGGCCCTGTAGGCGACAGGAGCTTCATCTAGGACCCGATCGTTCTCTGCACCGACCCAGACAATGTAGTCCCATTGCTTGGACTTGAGGTGCTTTTTGTGTCGAGCTCATGGTGGCTCGGCAGATAGAGTTGAGGCAAAACTTCAAGGGAGGCGCTGAAGGGGTTTTATTGGAAGCTTGGCAGCTGTTAGGCTTGCTGTATGACAGCCCAATGACAGCCCCTCTAACTCCACACACAAGAGGCAAAAATGGGAGTCATGCAAGTCATAAGTCTCAACGCTGTCTCAACTTCGCGAAAACATCTGCAGTCGGGCGACTCTTCGTACGAGTGACATGGATGGTGGAAGGTGTTGCCCTTGGGACAGGCGTTCCAGACCTGCGCGTGGAGCAGGCCCACCAGCGCCCTGCACTCAATCTCTTACAACCTGAAAACCCGATAAACATCGATAAACAAAACGAAGCCATGCAAGGATGCAGCCGAGCGGCCCTTACCAGCACGCCGCGCCCTGCATGGCTTTCAGACTGCTGCTGGGGATTGAGGGATGGTTCGGGAATGTTCGGAATCTGGTCAGGGACAACTTGGTGGTCCTCCCGGGTAAAGGCCGCTGGGCGGGGGCGACTGCGGCGTGGCGCGGGTGAGCTCGAAGACTGACCAGCGACGGCCCCAGTGGTCGTCCACCTGCAATACACTGTTTTCCTCGTGTGAGCTTTTGGGTTCCTGCTAGCGAGGCGGTCTACGGTCCCATTTTTGTGAAGAGCTGAAGGCATGGCGGTGGGACAGGCTTTCGAGACGACCAAGGCTTCGCAGTTTATGTTGCATGGCTTGTTTCTGTAGGCTCTGCGAGGTTTTGAGCTTTCGTCCTCTACGATCGCATGGACAGAGGGCGAAACCCCGAAATTCCCCAACAACACAGCCCTACACACACCGACACACACACACACACACACACACAGAGAGACACAGACACAGACACAGACACAGACACAGACACAGACACAGACACAGACACAGACACAGACACAGACACAGACACAGACACAGACACAGACACAGACACAGACACAGACACAGACACAGACACAGACACAGACACAGACACAGACACAGACACAGACACAGACACAGACACAGACACAGACACAGACACAGACACAGACACAGACACAGACACAGACACCAGACACAGACACAGACACAGACACAGACACAGACACAGACACAGACACAGACACAGACACAGACACAGACACAGACACAGACACAGACACAGACACAGACACAGACACAGACACAGACACAGACACAGACACAGACACAGACACAGACACAGACACAGACACAGACACAGACACAGACACAGACACAGACACAGACACAGACACAGACACAGACACAGACACAGACACAGACACAGACACAGACACAGACACAGACACAGACACAGACACAGACACACACACACACACACACACACACACACACACACGCACACACACACACACACACACACACACACACACACACACACACACACACACACACACACACACACACACACACACACACACACACACACACACACACACACACACACACACACACACACACACACACACACACACACCACACACACACACACACACACACACACACACACACACACACACACACACACACACACACACACACCCGCGCGCGCGCGCGCGCGTGCGCACACACAAGAAATGACTGTTCATACCATCATGCAGCAAAGACAGCGAAACTGCAAAGCTTCGGATGCTCATGCACTGGCGCTCACAGACCTGAAAAGCTGCTTGACGATAAATGCCACACCGGCTTGAAAACATAAAGCCTTGTTTTGATGAAACCGAAAAAGGGACCGACTTTCTTTGTGGTCACCAGCTATGACCTCAGACATCCAAGTGCACCACTGCAGGTACATGTCCACGAACATTGAGAGCGTCTTCGTTGGCGCAGGACTCTTCAATGCAGCCCCTGCTCATGTTCGAAATCATGGATCATGTGAAACGAAAGAACATTCCCAAACAGATGGCAGTGACGCCTTTCCAGGATGAATGTACCTGTTTACACACACACACACACACACACACAAACAAACAAACAAACAAACAAACAAACAAACAAACAAACAAACAAACAACCAACACTTCCAAGCCTAAAAGACCTCGACTCCAGCCCTCCGAGTATTCCGAGCTCCCGACCGACAAGGTCGGAGAAAAGAATTTGCAGAACCAATTTGTGGGCTCTCTTTCCGAAAACTCTGCCCTGGACAAACTGTCCGAGTAATACTCTGAGCTCCCAACAGATGGAACACCTCAGAGGCGCAGATGCTTTCGTTTGCCCCCATCACAAACCCTAAACTCGGATCACCAACAAAAACATACAAAAACCCTGAACCTCCTACGCGGGTTCCACTGAGGGCACAGGGGCTGCACAAGGTCTCGGTTCCACGGCTTCGTTGGCGGAGCAGGGATTGTAGAACTGTGCCGGTTCAATCATCCCGACAGCAACTGTAGGCAATCCCTAAAGCCCTCAAGCCTAAAGAGGACGCTGGTTTCATCACCTTTGTGTGTGACGTTGTGTTGCACCCTTGTAAGAGTACAGCGGCGTTCAGGTGTAGCACTTGTTTGGGGCTGCCGGCTCCCAATGCCCTACAACAGACTCAAACCCCCAGCCACGGACGGCACACGGAGCGCTCTTTGTGCAGACACAATCATACTGTGGTCACTGCCGCCGGTGAAACTTGTCGCTCTTTGTGCAGACACAATCATACTGTAGTCACTGCCGCCGTTCAACCCCCGGAAAGTACACGGTCCTGCCACTGGCTGAGCTCAGTCTGAAGGCAGAGCCAATCAAACTGATCCTGAAGAGAAGCCCAGTACGACTCCAAGCAGCGGATCACGATCTCCAGATCGGGAAGTGAACAGTGCACCCAAGCAAGCCGCAAGGACTCACCGAGGCAGACACGAATAAGGTGATGGAAAACTGCTCTTGCCACCAGACTTGATGCATCTTCCGCTTCTCTCCGAGAAGCAAGGAAGAACTTCCTGACGTACTGAAACTCAAGCATCTCCAACTGCACTTCAGTCTCAGCGATGATTTGATGCAGCTCAGGAAGGCTTCGAGGAGTGGAATGAACCAGCAAGTGCAAAAGGACTTCCAGCATTTCAGTGTCGTCAGGCTCTGCCTGCATCTCTTCCAAGCCGTCGGCCCACGGCAACATGGCGAAATCTGGCGCAGCTTGTAGGGGAGATGGACTCCCGGGCAAACATGCGCAACGGCAACATTGGACGACAATGCCTTTGATGAGCCAAAGGGCTGACCGAGCCACCTCGTGAAATCCCAAACCTGAAGCCTCCCTGCCGAAAAGAGTATCAAGCTGCAAGGGAGAGGGAGAGGAGAGGGAGAGGGAGAGAGAGGGAGAGGCAAATCGAAGTTGCAAAAAGCCAACAAAATGGGTTGACATCTGCACAGCCAGGCGCATGAGGTGCCGCCCGACTCGACGTGCTTGGGCATCAACCCGAGGTCGGGCGAAAACACAACCTGAGAATCTTTTGGGCCCCCAAGACCAAGAGACCTTCGGGTTGACGCCAGGAGTCTACCCAGTCTACCCTTCCTTCCCCCTTCCCTAGTCCTCGCGCCGGGTTTTCACTTTCCAGTTCTTGCGCCGCACTCAACTTGGGTTCAGGGGCTTCTCTTCTTCCCGGCTCCATTCTCCTTACAGGAAAACCCGCAAAACTCTGACTTGGGACTCAAAAGTCGGGCGTTGGCATGTTGGGGTTTGGGACGTGTCGGGTTGAGGGTTCACGATCTGGGGTTGTTTTTGTTAGGGGCGTTTGGCGTCCAGTGTGGGTTATAGGGTGTTGGGGGGGGACCTTGAGATCCAGCTGACTGTGCTAGAAAGCACAACTTCTGCGCGGCGAAATGCATGGAGATGGAGGCTCCAAGGCTCTGAGGCTCTCGGGGCCGAGGTGGCGAACCTGCCGAGAGGCGCAGCGTGCTTCGATCCGCCAGGACGCCTCAAAGAGGATGCCGAAGTAAGTGCAGTTCCCGCCCGGTGTGCCTGAGCTCAGTGCACTTGCGAGCATGAAAACCTCAACTTCAGCAGAACACAACCCCAAGAAAAACACAAGACCTGCAACACCTATATGGGCTTCTTGATTGCGATGGTCGTCTTGCCCCTGAAGCCACGACTCCCATGGCCTTGGGCCCTTGTGGTTGAGGGGCTGTTGGGGGGACTTCAGTGTCAAACCTGCTCGAGAAGCTCCCAGTGGCCTAGCCTCCTCAACCCACCCTTCCTAAACCCTGCCCTGAACCCCTTTAAACCCTCGTTTACTGGATTTGAGAAGAGGAGCTGGCCCGCAGGGTTGAGCAGTAGTCGGCGCACTGCTGGACGAAGCCACCTCTCATTGCAACAGAACCGCGGAATCTCAAAATTCTTCACGCCTTGAGCCCCACTGTTTCGAGGGCCCCCACGCACTTGAGTCTCCCCGCCTGACATTCTCCTGCTCGTTATCTGCCAAGGCGAGTACCAGACATTGCCTCGGCTGTCGCACGGATGTGCACATTTTTTCAGCTCTTGGGCTTGGGGCGTTCCAGGAGCTGATGGGGGCTCGCTTGAGCCCACAGCATCCTTTAAACCCCCTGCGAAATTTGCCACACCCACTCAGCAGCATCACTCCGAACCCTGCATATGTGGTCATCCCAGAAGGCGACCCTGCGCATGCCCGAAAGCACCTTGAAAGCCTACCATATTGCCGCGAACTCCCGAACCTTTTGCGGCGAACCAACTCTCACCCAAACCTTAAGGTCTGCCTGCGCATCGCGTGCCGTTGGCATAGAGAACCTTCCAGTTGGGGCCTGGTCGATGCTGGGCCCGGTTTCGTGTCTTAGAGAAGGCTTTTAAGTTGCAACTTTTCTCGACTGCGGCTACAGATGGGACTGGGAACACCACGCCCCGAACGCGAACCCAGGCTTGAGCCATCTTTGGGCCCAATTGTCCTAAACCCTAAGCCCTAAACCATAAGCCCTAAACCCTAAACTCTATGGGTATACCTAAGGTCGTATTTAGTGACGCATGACCTGAACTTAAACCCAATTCCTGGCTAAACGCTCTACAATCTCACACCCAGGAAGACGCGGAAGGCTTTTACCCTAAACCCTAAACCCTAAACCCTAAACCCCGGAGCTCCGAGCCCTAAAACCCTCCCTCGATTCCTCTAAGATGGGCTAGGAGGGCAAAGATGGGTTCGCAGGGGGCTCTTAAAGTTCTGGCGCCCGGAATTTGAGGGCTGCTCGCAGACGCGGTCCTCGGGGCACTTCCTCAGTCAGGTACTTCTCAAGCCAGGTGCCCATCCGATAGACGCCTCAAAGCGGGAGTCGAAGCACTTGAAGCTTCGCGATTGGGCGCATAGGGCCTTTAAGTAGGGCATCCTTGGAGCCTTAGAGCCCTATAGAGCCTGAGTGCCCTATAGAGCCTCCAAGGTGCGCTTGCCTACGGTTTTCACGCCCAACGTGTGATTAGGCCAGGCGTCCTGCATTGGTGTAGGCGGAGAATCCTCGACGCCGGCTGTCGGTTGTGCTAAGCCTCAGGCTTGCACTCCAAGACTTGTAGAAGAGCTGCCCAGCTCCCAAGACTGGCCACCGCTCGAAAGGAAACCGCAAGGAAACCGTAACCGTACACGGAACCTTAACCTGCAGAGGCACACGTCCGTCTGGTCCTCGTTCACGTCTCGGCACCAGACCTCAAAGAAGAAGAGCCCGCCCCTCCCCCCCCCCAGCAAGCTTCCAAGCCCTCAAGCCCCTTTTGGGTACTGTAGATACAACTGAGGTCGGGAGGTGTCTTGAGTCTTTGCACCTCTGCCGGATGTGGGCTTGCAGTAAGGGTGCCTTTTAAACCGCAGAGCCTATCCAAGGGTCGCTTGTGTCGGTTAGACGCCAAGCCACACATTCCCGGAACTCCCGACGGAACTCGAAGAAGCGGCAGCTCATCCAGAAACAGTTTTCCGCGCACTCCTTGCCGCAGGGGTGACTCGGGTGCACGAGGCCAGTGGAGGGCTTCGGGCTTGTAGGTGTGCGGCAGGCTTTGCAGCTTGCATAAGCCCCTGAGGCGTGTGGATCTCGGCTGACATGGAGGCGCTTCCGCATCTTCCGCATCTTCCGCATCTTCCACGCATTTCCACGCCCTCGAGCCTCCAGGCTCTCCGTGGCGCCGAGGCCGTGCCGGCCGCTGCCGCAGCGTACGGCCGAGTGGAGCTTCCTCGGCCCATTTTAGTTCAAGTTATGTTCAGGAATCTTCGGAAGGACCTTTCCGTGGAACCCTTGAAAGCCTGCAAATCGGACGAATCCCCGCGAAACCCGCAAGCGCTCGGCCAAGCAGCTCCGCATAGTCCACCGCGCGCCAGGCACGCGTGACGGGCCGGGAGACCATGCCGTTGGCGAAGGTCCTAAGGCAGTGAGAGTTTGGGAGGAGATGTCCAAGGTGCTTTTGGTATGTAAGCCTGCGAACGCAGACCGTCAACTTTCTTAATCTCACCAGACAACTGAGCCAGCAAACTGTTCCCAGGCTTAGGCGAACAAATGCTTTGCCTCCGGCTTCTCTTGAGTGTGGCGCATTGACGACGCATTGCTCTTGACCAGTTGGCGCTGGTTTGTCTTGAATTGTCTTGAATGTAGGAATTGGTGCAGAAGAAGCCGCCCAAGATGCAAAGGGCTTCCCGAGATGCCAAAACTTGCGAGAAGCAAGAACTGCAAGATCTTGTGCATCGTGGGCAGCCAACCCTGAATGTCGGCCAGCTGTTTTACTATTTTACTATTTACTATTTCCAGCCGAGAGCGAGATTTTTTGCATCGCGGGCAGCCAACCTGAAAAGTCGACCGGAAGCCTCAGTTCTCTTGTCTCTCGAGCTTTAGTTGAAACGCGGTGCTTTTTTGCATCTCGGGCCACCGCTGCGAAACATCCGCCAGAATCGCCCCAACCTTTTTGTAACGCGGGAAGCCAACCCTGCATGTCGGCCAACTGTTTTGCACGTCGGCCAAACGCATCCCACGGTTTGTCTTTGCTTTGCCTTGTGACATGCATTGATGGTAGCATGGGTTTTGCTGTCGGCGGCGCCTTGGCTGTGAAAAACGGGTCTGTGACTTGTTGCCTCTGGTTCGTCTTGGCTGCGAAGCCTTGATACCATGCGCGTCTATGTGAGGCATTGAGACACGATGTGTTGCCTGTGTGTCCTCTGTTTTGCCGCGGTTGTCACTGATGTACGCATTTGGAAAGTCTGCAACGGTTTAAGGGGTTTCGGGCATCGAAGGGGTCGCAGGCAGCGACTGGCACCGTAGTGTTTCCTATGTTACGCGTGTGATTCCTATATCATTTAACTATGTAGTGGTGGCAGCCGGAATGGAAGACAGAAAGGGAGAAAGACGGAAAGGGAGGAATAATGGCGGGGATAACCTTAACCTCTCTGAACGGTCCCTCCCTGAACGGTCCTCCACCCAAATCGAACCGACATGCGCCCCCAAGCCCGCCCTCGGAAGCCTCCACCGAAGCCTCCAGCAAAGAAACCCCCCCCAAAGCTCGTGGGATCACAGGCGCCCCGGACCCGGGCCAATGCGCATGGAGGCCTCCCAGACCTGAGGATGCATGGGTAAACCATGGTAAGCGTTAAATCCTTCGGTTACATCCTCCGCGCAGGGTCGTTCAAACTAGCCCCCCCCCCCCCCCCCCAAACATGACAGGGTTTCGGGCCTGGGGCGGCGCAGGGTTTCGGGTTGGGGGCTTGGCAGGGTCCTATAAACTTTGAAAGCCTTCATGTGCCCTCAAGACCGGGCCCCGCGCAGCAGCCCAGGTACCCGGGAGGTTCCGCCGGGGCCAGTATTCCTCGAGGGCTTTCCGGGATTCTCCAAGTTGGGGTCATCAAGGCTCCGGTCTTCAACGCTGCTAAATAGAAGATACCGACTTCGGAATTATTGGCACCATGCGCTCCGCAACGTTTGGGGCTTCCGGGCGAAAGATCCTAGTTGGCCTAGAGGGGAGGGCAGAGTTCTTTCAAATGCCTGACGGTGCGAGGTGGGCCCCGGGATGCATGTGATCACCTGCCAGGGGGCACAGCAGGGGTCAGCTTGAGGTTTGTAGGAGCTTGGATCCTACAGTACGCATGTTCCCACGCCTGCACCCCAAAACCCTAAGCTGAACAAGAATAGGACGCCCAGTAGTGAGCAGGGGAGTTCCGTATGCAGAACCAGATAACTTCCGAAACAGACTGTCTGGCTTCGGCTGGCACAGGCCTGGATGAGGGAAACAAACTCAAGAGCCCTGTACCATACAAAGCCGCTCCGCCTGGGTATTGCCCTTGTCAATGATGTCCTGCAGCGGATGCACACGACAAAGAATCAATATTCTGTGTTTATCGGGCTTGAACGCCCCATGCATGCAAGCCAAAGTGTGAATCATCATCGTCATCGTCATCGTCATCGTCATCGTCATCATCATCATCATCATGATCATCATCATCAGCATCATCACCATCATCCTCATCATGGATGCTACTCCCGTTATGGAATACAGATCGCCTGCAGTAAGCCCTGCAGGCACAAAAAGTTAAACCCGTCCAAGCACCAACCCAGCGGCAATGGTTTCAAAGGTCCGTGACCCATGCAGGAGCGCAGCGCTTCACAACACAAAAGCCTTAAAGCCGCAACTCCCATCGACAGCCTCCGTTTGTCAAGGGTTTCCAAGCTGCGGGCACAAGATCCTTAAAAATCCTTCCATCACATCCCTCCTTGACGGCGCAAGGGACACCATCCAACATCACCTCAGAGGCGGTGGCTGGGTGGGGTTGGTGGGGATGGTGGGGTTGTTGTTGAGGGTTTGGCGTCTCAGGCCTTCAGAGTAAAGTGATGTTTTTGGCGGGCACGCGTGCCATAGCTTCAGCGAGTCTAGCTTTTGAGGTTGAGACGGGCGCTTGCAGCTGCCTTTCCGTCCTCACTGTAGGCCCTGTAGGCTACGACCCTAGGGCACCCTGAACGCGCAACCAGTCAACCCAAGGCCCTTCTGAAGTCTGAATTTCTGGTGAAGAGGAATTACCGCTAAGATAGACTCGGGAAGGCCGAACCCCTCCATCAAGCACCCACACCCAACGAACCAAAGCTTCAAAGAAGGCCCCAACAAGAACAACTCCCAAACTCGCACCTCATGTCGGCCGGCAAAGTTCCCTTTGCCGACAAAAATGCCGTCGGCCTCATGCTTGGCAAGGGTCTAGGCTTGCTAAACCCTAGACCCTAAAGCCTAAACCCACACCACTACCTAGACCATGCCCTTGAACGCCAAGCCCCAAAACCCTAAACCCCGAGAACCCCAAACCCAAACCCTACACCCAACCACAACCAACCACCACAAAAGACGAGCCCAAGAGTCCAAAAAAGTTCCCAGACTCACCGTGCATATCAGCAAGTCAGTCCACCTTGAAAAAGACAAGTGCGCACCCTGGACACAAAAACCCTACAAGGCAACCCTTGCAGGCCCAGGTCGAGAATACACAAGGAGCTCGCCCTCCCCCCCACTACAAAGAAAAGAAGCGAACCCAAGAATCCCGTCTGAGAGTCTGCTTCCTGCACTTACCCCGCCTCTAGTCGCACAGGCGCGCCGCCAAGGCGGCCCACCTGTCTGCCCCCAAGAGGGATGGGCTTGAATCCCTTTTCAAGGCCTCGGATTCCAGGGTTTGGGGCTTTCTTTTCTCAGGCTGTTGGCTGAAATACTGCAAGCTTCCGAGTTTAGCCCAAGAGACCTCGAACCCTTGGCCGTGCCCGGCCTGTTGCACCATGAGAGTGTGCAGGGTCGGAAAAACCTGCAGAAGGGCTTTGCAGTTCAGGGCTTCCATCACAGAAGTCCCAAGATGCAGGTGAGATCCAGCACTGCCAGAAAAATTGTTTCCAGCTACTGCCGAACCCTGTGAGTCCAAGGCCTGAACCCTAGACTCTTAACTCCCAATTTGCAACCCTCGCAACCCCCTCCCGACCCACCTCAACGGCATATTCTCGGCCCTCCATGTTCACGAACGGAAGGGGCTGCACCTGGAGAGCCCCACACAAACGAAGTGCTCGGTGCTTCTTTTGGCTTCCACAAGCAAAAAGCATGGTAGCTTAGGCTTTCGGACGGGGGGGGGTTTCTCGAGGCCCACATGGCTTCCCCGGCCTCCCAAGCCGACCGGCCGAAGCCGATGTCGCTGACACCGTCGTTTCGCAAGACATACGTAAAGTTGTAGTAACCTCTCAAGGTCGGAAATTCAGGGCTTTTGGGCTGAAGATGTCTGAAGAGTTCGGGTGCCCTGGGCCCTCACCGTCTTGCTCTGCTCGCTATTCTTAGTTGTTTGATGACTTTTGAGGCAGCCTTTCTGCAGGCTCCTGCGATTGCGGAGCCCGATGCCTTAAGGCAAAGCTTGATGGGGTCTCCACCTGCAAAGCCCTCATCTCTCAACCCCTTAAAACCCTGAGAAAGGCCGGAAACCAAAGGGTCCTGGATGCTTCGCTCTCTCACGGGCACGGCCTGCCGGAGTGCCCGCGGACACTTCGCAGACCTTCAGACGCTCTGATGTTGCAATTTTGCGGGGAGAATTTTGGGGTTTAGTCTCAGTGTGTTGACTGAGCCTTCTGTGTTGCAGCGCGTCTGGCGAGAGGATTGGGGGCTTTAGATCCCCCCTCCAGAGGTTTCAATTGCACCGGCTGAGACATCACAAAATGTTCTTGAACAAAAAGACCGGAACAGCCTCAGTTGCGCAGGGCCTGCAGCTCTTGGGGCTCTTGGGCACTCAAGCTTTCGAGGCCGACCTTTTCAAGTCCAGCTTTGTTTGTAAACGCCGCGGCCAAAACCCTGAAGCCTGAACTTCCCTGAACCTGAGAGCTCTTGGGAGGAGTTTCGAGCTCCAGGCCCCATCATTGATGGTCGGGGTCTCGATAATGTCGCAGCGGAACTCCTCGCGGCCGCCTCCACAACACGCTCAGGCGGCGAATTTCAAGGCATGGGTTAAGGATTTGGGGTTTGTCGTGTTCACCCCATCAGCCCGAAACCCTCTATCCAGAGTAGGAAGGTTTTGTTGAGGGCCTTGCACCTGCATCTTGTACGCGGTCCTGGCATGGGGGGGGGGGCGTTTGGCCTCCAGAACTGGCTTGAGGATGTGGGGTCGTTCTAGCCCAAAAGAAACATAAACAGAACAACGCCCCCCCCGGCGCGCGCGGATGGCATGCGGCGTTGGGGAAGGTGGGGGCTTCACATGAACGATCCCAAACCAGCCTGAAAAGGCACAGTACCGACCAAGAAGCACATGCCCCCACCCCAACCCTCAACCTGAAAGCCGGGGGAGCGCCTTTGTCAGCCAAAACCTCCAGGCCCGTGCCGAGGTAAGCATGCATAATTTCCGTTGCGTTGCGCTTCTCGCCTGACCGGGGGCTTGGCGGTTGAGGCCCTGGGACCTACAACCACTGCACGGATCCCTTGTGTAAAGCCCCGAACCTTCTAACTTCTAACAAGGGCCCACGCAGGTTTGATGTGCGGGGTGGGGGGGAGCAGGGGTGCCATCCCAGAAATCCCAGAAAACAAGAATCAGATGTGCCTGAGCTCAAGGATTCTCAGCACAAATTGTCCGCACGCAAGCGGCGATCAAGAATCACCAGCAAGTGCAATCCTGAAAGGCCTTGAAAACTCAAAACTCCAAACGACGCCGAACCTTGAACATGAACCACATCCTGAGAGCAACATGACGGCAAGTGCAACCTCGACCACCCCAAAGCACGCAACGAAAGGCCTGTGTCCAGGAAGATCTCCTGTTGGTTAAGATCCAGCTGCTTCTTGAGGTCACCCTCCCACGTCACCTTCCAAGTGAAAGCACATGGCTCCAGAGGAACCCTGAACCCAAACACCCCTTTTAAATAGAATCCTACAAAGACGAGGGAGCCGAGGCTGCCTCTGTTCGGGGCATGACTCTGGCTGGGGCCTTGCTTTAGACTCGCTCTGGTTCCCTCACTGCTTAGAGTGTTTGGGGTGTCTGGGAGGCTGTCAATGCAAAGGGGCGCAGTGGGGCTTTGGGAACCTCAGGATGTTGAGTTGCGCCTTTCTAGGGGAATCCTGTGGGATTCTGGGCCTGGAAGCTTCGATCTTCTCCCCTTCTCTGCCCTGCTTCCCTTCCCTTTTGGGCTCCCAGCATTGTCGATGATTGCCGAGGCATGGGTGATGTGAGTCACAGTCGGCGTGTGCCTGCCCAGAGGTGCAGCTATTTGTGGTTCAGGTTGCATGGCCATTTTTCAGGATTTAGAGAGCTGTACGGTGTTGGGAGTGTAGACGGCAGTAAGCAGGTTGCGCTGCATCTGGATCTAAGACACAAATTTGAAGCTCTAATATCTCTGCATGCCCTCAATCCTCAAATCCGCGAAGTCGAAAACCCACTACCCCAACCCTAAATCCAAACCCCAACGCCGCAAGCCCCTATTTATTTCCCATGCCAACATGTGATTGCAGAAGAACAAACGTGGGAACCTCGGAACGCCATCCAACAACAACAAAGTCAAACGGATCTTGATGGAACAACGACAAGATTGGTGCGGACTCATTTCTTTCGCTACTTTACCCATGCGCGGCTGTACATACTGGGGCGCAACATCACCGGTAGCACTTCCTGATTCACAGGAGGCTCTCTCCGACAGACAGGAGGTGGAGTGGAGTGCAGAGAGCTTCAGGCGTCAAAGCCAGTCATCCTCGCAGTGAAGGCTGTAGCCCAGCTCCAGGTGCACCCGATCCAGTCCATACTCTTTCCTGACTTGTTCACCACACACAGCACCTCTTTACATGGAAGCTATGGGTGCCGGGCATGGATTTTCCCAAAAAAAAACTGGCTCATCGGTGGGCGGCCATCAAACAGCCGATGACTGTCGTCTCGCAGCATCTACATGTGATTGGACTTCCAGGGTTACCATCCTCATCCGCCAACACCACAGCAACATCGCGCCGAACTTTCGGGGTGTAGTCTGAGGTTTCTTCTTTGTTTTTGCCACTCTCCTTTCGGATGATTGCTAGCTTGTTTTTGTACCTTCAGTCCACGCCTTAAGAAACCTTCTACTCTTGGCACCACTGGGTTTGTGAGTCTGGAACCTTTTCGAAGCATGCGAATCCCTGCACAGGTCGCGGGTTGGGGAATTGGGGATTAACCCCGAATTGCGCGGTACCCTCTTACACAAATCCTGACAAGTGCGAATTCTGACTGCTATCAAAGCAAAAGCTCACACGAATCGATGGGTGCACTTCGTCTTTGTCCGGCTGTGTCGCCAGCAGCTCGCGCCTTTTCTCATGACATGCCTAGGCCGCAGCATACGATCGAGGCTCAAGGTTCAAAGGAAGGGCAGGCTCAAGCAGCACCAACTGCTACTGCTGCTGCTTTGACAACGGTTGCCTGAGAAAAGTACCATCGCCATTTCGGAAAGGACACAATCTGCATCTTCATGTTTGGGGCTGCCTGCATCTTTCGATTTTATTGCATTTGGTCTATCTGCATCTTGTGTTGGCGGGCAGCATGTGTGTCCGGATGTGGAGCCTACCGAGAGCAAGGTCGACCCACCTTTTCTAAGTTATCTATGTCGTTTCTTCCACCTTGGTGATGGGCCGGCTCACGCAAACACCGATTTCAGCACTAAGCGTGTAGGATTCTCAGCCGCCTCACGGAAACAAACGTCGATTCCTAAAACATGCATTCTGCAACTACACGCCTCGATTGTACGTGGAACGAGGCTCACTCATGTAGGTAGAAGTTATTTGCTGACCCGGGACGCCTCAGGGCGTGCACAATGTACTAAAACCGGAAGGCATCTGGTGGCTGAGGCGCATGTCCATGCTTCCTGCGAAGCTCCATGATGTCCTTCACGGTCAGGTGCTTCTCTGTCGTGAAATCCTGCATGACAGATAACGGTGTTCTGGCCAGATGCTGTACGACAAACATGGTTAGGAAACAATGAGAAGCAACCCCACTACTGCCCTGGCCAACCCAGCCAACACCCGAACTGATTTTCGATGCCGGTGCAGCAAATAGCAGCTTTTTGGCGGTTGCTTTCGCGCGAATGGCCAGAGCATCCATGTCCGCTTACGTCCATGTTTCCAGTTCGTTCGAGTGATGCTGGCGGCTACCGCGGCAGCCGTCACACTGGCAGGGGAGGGGGGGCAGGGGAGGGGGGCAGGGGAAAGGGTAGTAGTCGCAGTAGCAGTAGCAATAGCAGCAGCAGTAGCACTAGCAGTTGCAACAGGAGTAGGACTAGGAGTCGGACTAGGACTAGGACTAGTAGGAGCAGGAGTAGCAGGTAGTGGTAGTGGTGGTGGTGCTGTTTATGAACAGGGCATTCAGTTTGTACAAAACAAACGGCACGTTGTGTGTCGTGGCGGGCACTCCTCCAATGTCATGGGCACCAAAGATCCTTCCACCAAGCTGAAGACCACAGATGCCCCGGCATGGACCTTCATCAAACTTTCGTCGAAGATTTGGATAGGTTTTCCTGCAGATTATTTGGGCTGGTTTTTGGTGCTGGGCTTCTCGTGTTTTACCGGGGCTTCTCCTGGACGCGATGGAGCGAAGCACTCTTGGGGCTGGGATCACCCTGAGATCTCTTAGGGCCGGCCGGTTGAGGGCCCAGTTGGGGAACAACCGTTGCACGGACTCAGCCCGAGCACAACTGGACACACTGTTTCTGAGTTGCTGCCTGGATACCACAGGAGTACCCGGCGTGACCTCAATTGCCATCTTGTCGTCCATGCGTCCGCGGCCCTTGCGGCTGAACGCAGGTGGAGGGGCCATCACGTCATCAAAGGTCCAGGGAATGCGCGGATAGCCTGTGACACAAGCCGACAAACCGTCCCGCAAAAGTTTGGCACCTTAAGCAGGAGCCCCAAACCAAGGAAGCTCTTGGGCAGTGAGGTCGATTACTGTCGACAACAATCGCAACAATCTACTAGAGAGCTTGTTCAAGTCGTGCGCGATGGCGCTGGGCATGGGCCTTCTAAGTGTCCAGGCCCGCCGAACCAGCATGCTGTGCTTGTCAGTTGTCGTGCAACCTGGCTGGGGGTCCGCTTGAGTGAGAGTTTTCGGCTTGTTCATAGCGAGGCTGGGAATCGACCTTTTAATCCCTTTCCGATGCATGGGATCCTGCTTTTGGCGGGCTGAGGGTAGCAACCTTCACTTGAAAGGCTGAGTGCTCCAAGGCGTCTTGTGCCTTGCAACGCTTCGCCAGGTCTTTGTGATTGTTAGGTGTGGGATTTGGGGGCTTTAGGTATAGGCATCGGAAAGCCAAGCCTCAAAGACCTCGAATGCCCCTGTAAAGTCTTGTCTCTTTAGCACTCCCCAGCCTTGACTGCGATCTCTTCCTGTTGTTCCTGCGGCACTGTGGGATTCACCAGGTTCCCCGTGGCATCCTGCAAGCGAAGCATCTGCCTCTGGACCAGTGATGCCAAGAAGCACATGAAGCAGGAGAGCACATGTCAGGTCTTTGTTGGAGCCAAAGCGAGAAGCTTTTGCTTAACCAAAGCTGAGCAGCAAAACGGGGCTGAGGGAAACAGCCACAGCTGTGATCGTGCTGCTGCCCGGTGCATCAAGTGACGTAAAGGGTTGGCCATCCGAGGTCAGGAACCGAAGTCCTGAACTTGACCTCCAGCGCGCGCAAACAGACTCTCAGACAGAGATCGTGCCCATAAAGGGCGCCCAAAGGCACCCCTGAATACGTCGCTTGCATATTCCCCATGAGTCGCCTCATGAAACTACCACCTCTGGATTTCATTCTGCCGCATAAAAAAGGGAGTGGGGATCTGAAAGCAAAATGGTTGGTAACGATCCATGTTGCAGGAGCTTCGGTTTGCGTCTGAGGCGCTTGCCAGGCTCGGTGGTCATCCTGGCAGAGACCAGCTCCTGAAGCTCAGCAAGGGATGAGACCTCCACGGCATCAAGGAGGGTCTCACCGCTCATCCCAACCACAGTCAGGGTGCGTGGCTCATCTGGCTCGCTGGACTCGGACTCAGCCATCTTTTGAAGCAGGCGCGCAGCTCACTCTACGTGTGAACTGCTTCGTGTCTACACAAGCCTGAAGCGAGAATCCCTCTGACATCAAGAAGTCATGTGCCAAACCATCCATGGACTGGAACTCTGCCCTACGATTGTGGACACCTTGCTCATTCATAGGCGTCCCAATGTCCAAGTTGAGGGGGAGGGTGGTACGTAAGTTAGGGTTTGGTACCCCCCGCCAACCACCCCCTTCAACCAAGCAGAAAACACGGCGAGCTACCGCATTAGACCATCTCAAGCCTTCAGAGCTGACCGAACTCCACCCCCTTCAACCCAGCTTCCAGGAAGTGGCAGCCCAGCGCCTGTCCCGAGTCCGGAAGGTGCCCGTGCGCAAGTAGGCGCGGTGGCCTCGAAGTGGCTCAGCTTAAGATCGAAGTGCTCTGGGGAATGCGAGCTTCCAACGACCCGCCTGAAGTGAAGACGACGGCCACTTCGTGCCGGCCTCGGAGGGAAAGGAACAAAAAGAATGAGCTTCGGTTGACGGCTTGAGGACTGTTCGGAGCACAGGGTTTAAGGTCTACGCAAGTTTCTGCTGTGTGGTGGTGTGGCACGTAGCAGGCTTGAAGAGGCTAAGCGGTCGATTTGCTATTCAGGACGCGGTGGAGCTTGAAGGCCCAGATCCCCAAGACCAACTCGCAAGCCCTCCCTGCACCCTGCATTGGGGGGGGGGGGGGGGGAGTGTGTGTCGACACCGCAACCTGAAACCAGGCAACCGTTTGGGGCGCTAACGACCTTGCTGGGAAACCGGGACCCCCACCGCTCGGCAAAGCTGGCGTGTAAACCATCATTTCACCATCCTGCAGAGGAGCTTGGCGACTTCTGGGATTCGACAAGCGAGCGTCATAAAAAGCAAATGCTGACATGCCTACTGCGCTCTGTCGCTGACCTTCATGGAAACGCTGCTAGCAACATCGTGTATCACGCTCAAGTCCTGCCTCTGGCCGGTTCAGCTTCATCAACCAACAAGGGCCACTACAGTCACTACAGCGGAGATTGACCAAACTCAAGAACCAAAGAAGCACCAGGACCTGACCAAGCAGCTTTTCGAGACAACAGGAGAACAGCCTTTGGCCCGAAACTCGCGCAGCTGCTCAGTGACTCCCAAACCCGCCTCTGAACCCCCCGAAAGCCCCGAAGGCCCCGAAGCCCCGCCTTCACTGACGGTTCAAAAATGTGAGCCGGCTTGCCACCAAAGAGGACCTCCCCGGCAAACCCAAATCTGAGCTTTGGGCTAGGGCTAGGTCTTGGGTCCGGGGGTCGGCTTGTACGCTTTGCGTTCCAGGTTGGTTTAATGGCTCGGGGGGTTCGAGATTTGGCTTCTTAGGGAGTCCTAGCCGCTGTTTCGCAGCGTCTTTATCAAAAACTCCATGAGCTTCACTCTCAGAACAGCCTTTCCCAGCCGAAAAGGCTTCAGACGTTGGGGTTTCGGACGAACGGGGGCGTGGTTTAAGTGCTCTTGAACCCCTGGCGAAACACTCGCCAAGTCCCGGGCCTGGGTGACGTATGCAAAGCCGGCCCCCGCTATGTGGACTTCAGTGCCACCTGCTGTGGAGCCTTCTATCGGCTCGACCTGACAGCAGTTTTGAGGCCACGCAGGTGGTTCACAGGAAAGAAGACAGAGAGTGAGAGAGCATGCAAAGAGAGAGAGGGAGAGAGAGAGCGAGAGAGAGAGCAGCTGCGGGGGTTGACGTGTTGGCACAGTGACAGCGAGGGCTTGGTGTCGCCACCGTCTTCTGCAACAGCTACGTGTGTCCTCCAGATGCGGCCCCATGCGTCTCCTTTCCCCCCCCTGAGCTGGCGGCACTAAACACAATACCGAATCCTTTCACCTCAGTGCAGGCAGAGCAGCTCAGCTTGCAGATCTTTACAACTCTACCTCACGCAGGCTCCGCAGCACGCAGTGACTAACTGAGCTCCTCTGATACACCCTTCTCAAGCCCTCTCTTTGCGCAGGCTGCTTTTTTTCAGGAAGGCAAGATCACGAAGCGCGCAGTCTCGAGAACCCATGCCCATGGCATCCGGGGAGTCTCCCATCTCGTGAAGTGAACCTTCAACGCGCCGACCCAAACACCCTACCCCAAGAATGCCACAACATTTCCCAGCCCTTGCCCGAAAACCAACTCCAGAAATTCCGAGGTTGGCACGCCAGCGTCAACCAGACCTGCCAGGGCGGCCAGTAGGACCGCCCCTAGCAGGCCTGCGCACTTGAGCGAGATTTGGGCCTTCCTTACGTCAATGTTTTGAGAACGCACCCACACAGACAGACACGAAAAGAGGCACAGACAGACAGGAAGGACAGACAGACGGACAGATGGACAGACGGACAGACGGACAGACGGACAGACAGACAGACACACACACACACACACACACACACATACATGCAGACTTCATCTTCAGCTTCATCTTCATCTTCAGCTTCATCTTCTTCTTCATGACAAACGTTTAACTAAGTGCTGGCCGAGCCAAGCACCTTAACTCAACACCGACTTCAAAGACCAAGCCCAGCATTGCACACAACTTCCAGCACAGAAGCGCAGCTGTCGCTTCCGCTTCTGGGCTCGCGAGTTCAAAGGAAGCCTATGGATACTCAGGCCATCGGGCTTAAGGCCACTCCCAAGCGCGGAAGAAGGCTTCCCGTGCGCGTGCGCCTGCATGCCGGCAACGTAGCATCGCCGGCCTGCAAAGCACACAGCAAAGAGCATGCAAGCGGAATCTAGGGTCCGGGTTCCAGGTGCAGTCTTGACATTCCTTCCCGAATCCCCATGAAACCTAGCACGCCCCACACGACGCGCTAACCCAGAAGCCCTCGACACGATGCCACGATGCTCTGCTCCGAGCGGTAGGAACTTTTGGGGTGCGATTCGGGGCTTAGACCCTGGGAGCTTTTGGAAGGAAAAGATACAACTTGCTGGGACTTTCTCGCCACGAATCCTTCTACGCTGCGATCCCCCACAGAAAGCCTCAGCAGAATGGCTCAAAAACCTCGAGCCGCGTCGAGCCTCGGAAACCCCCTTCGGAGCCGGAAAGATCCCAAACCCGAAGCCGCTGCTCTCGACACCGAAACACGAGGGCGGCCTGCACCTCTGAGTTCCCTCCCCCCTAACAGAACCCAGGAGCGCAGAACTTCAGAGGCAAGAAGCGCTGTGAGCCGCGAGGGCCGGAATCGGCTTGGGTTTGTCTAGTTTGGGGCATTTGGGCTCAGGGGACGCTCAGGGGACGCTCAGGGGACGCTCAGGGGCTGAAGAAGTAGGAGGTGAGCACCCCGACAATCAACCGCTCGACATGGCCACGGCCTTCACGGCACTACATTCTTACATCCCTGGTCTCAAGATTTCTGAGGGGTCCGCATCCGAAAGACCCGACAAAAATACCACCTGAAGTTTCGACAGCCAAGGCTTGCCACCCCTCAAACCTTTCAGGGCTTAGAGTTGCCACCTCCCGTTTCGTAAACGGCCATGTTTTTCACACGTACCTCACAACTATGTTACTACACGAGCCCACCATTGTCTCACAACACGACCAGAGGCAACGCAGCAAACATCATCCATCATCTCCATGGGAAGTCCACATGCTAAAGACCCTCAAGCCCGAAACTCCGGTAGCCTTGGTTCCGTCGCATGCGCTTGCAGATAGCAAACCCGCAAAGATTCCCAAAGCGCTCGACAAACAGCGAATTCGTGTTGGGGATTTGGGGCCGGGCCAGCCAGCCATGACAAGCGAGCGCGAGGGAGTTTTTTACATGTGTACTCAGAGCATGCCAAGGAGAAGAAAACTGAACCATTGAACCTGTTGAGTGCTTGGACTGGAATCGGGTCATGCTAAATCAGTTCGAACTATTCAGGTTGGGGCCCAACGCGAGAGAGAGAGAGAGAGAGATAGAGAGAGAGAGAGATAGAGAGAGAGAGAGAGAGACAGAGAGAGAGAGACAGAGAGAGAGAGAAGGGAAAAAACAGAAGAAATAAAAGAACTGAGAGAGATGGACGGGGGTGGGAGATGTATGTATGCATATATATATATATGTATAGAAAATGATCAGTATTTATTCACCCCATGCAATTTGATCATATACCTTAAGAAACAAAGATTGATACAAGAGAAACCATCCTTTTGCCAGTGCTCCTGCAATTGTGCCATGCTTGTGTGGCTCAGCATTTAACAGGCCGCGATGAAAGTCCGCAGCTTGATTGTGATGGTGCAAGCAGCTGTGCACCAAATTCCGTCCAAACCCAAGAAATGCGGACCTTCCTCATGTTGGAGCAGCATGCCGTCTCAGCTCATGCTGAGTTCAAAGTGGGCGAAAGTTAGCAAAAGAACTTCTGCAGCACCTCTGTGACCAAACGTCAACAGGCCCAACTACAGAGGCTTGCGCGCCTCAAATGTGGCTTTCAAGCCAGGTTTCTTGTCAATGAGATAGACATGCCCAGTTTGCACCGCCTCAGGATCTCCACACCAGGACTCAATCTGCTCCGCCACTTCATCAAGAGTAGCCCAGGTGCTTACATCAGCATCTGGCATGGCCTGGCGATTTTGGGCAGTGTCCAGGATCTGCGGGGCCAAGCCAATGGTCTTGGCGCTTCCAGGCAGGGAGTTCTCTGCCAAGGAGCGAACGAGGTGATGCACTGCCACCTTGGCCGCACCGTAAGGCAAGCTCCAAGCAGTGGGCGACCAGGCAGCTGCGGCACCTGGCATCAAAGGCCCCCATTCTTGCGGGCTAAGACTCAGTATATTTTCACCCCCTCCCACCTGGCAAGATCAGAAGCCCACCGCTGCGCAGCATGTGTGCTGAGACGTAGGCTGCCACGATCGAAGAGTACACCGAAGACTCGACCATGGCCATGGTGGTGGCGAGCACTGCTGGATCCTCTGCGGTGCCCACGCCAAAACCACCTGTCAAGGGAGCTCACACCGGCCGAACACACCCCAGGCTTTGCCACGCTTTCCTTTTTAGCTGCAGCTGCTGACCTGCCAGGTTCACGACAGCATCTAAGCGCTCCGAGTTTGGCAGTTGCTCTCTCAAGAACTGCACCACGTGCTGTCCTGAGCAGGCGTATAACTCGAATCCCTGAGAGAATGATTCACGAAGAGCCATCACCAGACCGTGCAAATGATCTCCCACTCCCCCATCGTACAATCGACGTCAGGCAGTCCTTGTTGACTTCTTTGAGGACTGTCAGAGGGCAGCATCTGGCAGAAGGACAAGGCATTCCCTTTCGGAATTGTCACATCCTCAGAGAAAACCGCAACGCCATTCCACTACTTCCGGGAAATGTGGCATGACGTGGTTGCGAGTTGTAGGTCCGGAGTTATAATATGTACCGCCAGACGAACACATTAACAGCCTTTGTCTGGGATGATTACCTGCCTAATCTTCTGAAGGTGCAAGCAGCACCGCAATCACCACAACCACAACCACGGATAAGGCTCTAAGCGGTTCCGAACGCTGCACGACCTATGCCTTTGAAGGCTCGAAGAACGGCGTTTCTATTCTTCTTTTCAGGGATCAAGGCAATGTCAGACCTCAGGAATGGAGCCCTTGAGTTAAACCCACCCTCCCAGTGATAGGTGGTCTTGACCCTGCGGAAGGGACGATTTGACCACAATGTTGTTAATCGCAAGATATGTTTCCGCTCCCAGTGTGTGCCACTGGCTTTCCAAGAACTTGTCACAAACTCGACGTCCGAGTTGACCTGCTGCACCCAGAACCAGAACTTTCTTCCGGGTCGCCATGAGGATGCTCACGGCTGTGCCCTCGCTGAGGCAACTTCTGGACGAACATATCAAGAACTGTCGTGACCGAGTCATTAGAATTGGCATGTGACATGAGACGAGCCTCTTGGACCTAGAATGCTACCTGGGAGCCAACAAAAAGTGCCATTGCATGCTCATTGCGTACTCCAACACGTTGTAGCTTTCAGAAACTGTGAGAACTCGATGACTTCAGCGGCACTTCGGCACTTGTTAGCATCAACTTCAGAATGCAAACCTGCGACTGGACCGGAGCATGCAAGCAAAACCAAAAGGAAAATCGAGCAACGAGCGCGAGGTGGGTCAGTGATCAACTTCGAAAAAAATCTACAAAAAACAGTAAGAGAAAACGAAAGAGAGAGCACATCAAACCCAGCAGGTCGCACCATCCGAAGTGGCGAACGTTCCCCATTAGACTGCGAGAAGTAGACCGAGATCAGAGTTGAACAAACAAGACAACAGAAAAGATGAGAAAGAGAAGAGAAAGAGGGGGGGCTTCTCGGAGCTCCTCCTTTCTTGCTGTGTCCTTTTTGTCGCCAATGAAGGGGCGGCACATCGGCCTCGTCGGCTACGATATCCTTCATTCGCTTCTAAGCGCCTCCAGCGCACGAGCCAGTCGTCTTAATCCATCACGGAGGTGCTCTTCGGAGATATCATAAGCAGGGCTGATCATAAATCCTGCATTTGGTGACTCCACAAAGTATGGCCAAACAGCCTCTCTTTGACAGTACTGCTTCAACCGTTTGAGGTCTTCTGCTCCTTTGAGCAGGTGCCCGCCCCACAGAAGTCCCTGCCCATGGAGGCAGAAGAATCCTTGTGCTTCCAATGGTCCGAGAATCTCTCTCACTAGCTTGGATAATTCTTGGATGTTCTTGAACCAAGCTGGCACTTCTTTCAGCACTTGGGTCGCAGTGAGGTACGCGAGCGCTGATGCTCCTGAGTACGTATGGCTTTGCGTCACTTTTGTACCCGAAGACAGCAGGGCTTTCGCACCACTGCGGATCGCAATCCCCGAGAGCGGAAAGGTGCCACTCGCGATCGCTTTGCCGAACGTCAAACCGTCCGGATCCAGGTCCCACGCAGTGCTGAGAAACAAGCTGTTGTTTTGCCCGTGGCGGCCTAGACCGCACATGATCTCGTCGCACAAAACACTTCTATTTTTCGCATGACACAGTGAGATGACTTTCCGAAGGAGCTCTGCAGGCCAGATTCTGCCAAGCAAGCTGGAACCCCACTGAGGCTCAAAGATAAAGATTCCAATCTGCTTGTTCTTTGCCAGGAAGGCTTCAAAATTCTCCAGGTACTCTTCTTGGGCTTGCTGACTTGTGGCAGCTTCTGCCGGTGGTACAGGGTATGGCACTTGTCCGACCGTCCGCGGTGCGTTGGCCCAGCGTGGCAGTGCAGGTTGCCCAAGGGCTGTGGTCCTGGCGCCATGGTAGGAGTGCTCAGCAATTCCCAGGTAACATTCGGTGGACGCATTGGACGCCTCGGACGCGCGTAGGCTGGCCAAAGCTTCCACCCCTGCCCATACAGCGGTACTTCCGTCGAGCTGCAAGTTCAGGAACCAGTCGCTCTCGCGAGACCAAGGTAAGTGCACCGCAATGCTCTCCACAAAGTCCGCAAGTGCTCGTGGAACTCCTTAGTCACTTAATCGGTTCAGGAACAAGCCTGGGATGAATACAGTGGGGTTATTATTTTCCGTCCTGCAAAAACCATGCCTGCTGTTGCCAGTAGCCAAGCTGCCAGCGCTGGTGTGTATTGCAAGGGGTTCCCAAGCCTCATCCCTCTCCAAGCACTCCATAGCATGCTTCTGCTGCTCAAAGGCAGGTCGTAACACTCTTGCAAGTCGCGGCCCTGTGAAGACTTCTGAGCATGCCGCTCCTCAACGCAAGTAGCAAACGCGGCGAAACACCTCAAAACAGATCCAAAGCCTGGCAAGATGATCACTTGAGCTGATGAGACCCTGCAGGCAATCTGTCCTAGCAGGATCACCTCCTCCTCCCTATCATCACGAAGACGCCGCAATTTGGCCCCATGCTTTTTAAGAACAATTCCGGGACCATCTTGCGCACCGACCTCGGGCCACAGTGGCCAATCCGGCTGTATACACGTCGAGGAGTTCAAGATCGCCCATGGGCCATGAACAACAGAGCACAACTTTCGACTGCATCAGGAGGGAATCTGGCAACTTCGGTTCTAATGACTCCAACGATTCCAAGTCACAGATCCTCGCGCCGCAACGCGTTTGAGAGCTGCGCGCGATCGAGAGTTCATGTCCACCGTCAAGGATTCTGATGATGAAGCTTCGCCTGCTCTAAATTGTGGAAAGCGGATTATCAACAGACCAGCCGATACTAGAACTCGGCTCGGAACAACTGCTGCCGAATCCTTGTCAGTCGCAAGCTTCTTTCAAACCACACTTCCTGACTTGCCCTTCATGTCAACTCCAAGTCACTTCGAAATTTTCCCTTCCACACCATGTTTTGAAAGGTCGGCTGGCCTGCCTCCTGCCATTTCTGGATGTGAGTTCCTTGAGAACTCCTTGTGGTCCTTGTGCCGGAAATCCACGCGAGCTCTATGAATTGGCTGGAGCTGAAGGCTTCTGCCATAAACCCGTCTTACTATGCTTCTTGGTCGCTTGTGCAATGGACTCCTTGATTCCTTGACTGTGATGCATAGCTTGACACGCTCATTCAAAAGGCGCAGCAACCGCATCACGCAAGATGCATCACTCAAAGGAGCCAAAAGAGCTTTGGCAAAGCTGATGGTAGGACTTGGCGCACTGGATGTGCTGCAATGGTTAGCAACTCCGCTGTGCACAAGGAACCAGGGCCCACACCTACTCCCCGTTTGGTTCACATGTAAGAACTGGGAGCGTACGGACCAAGAACAGCTTTGGATTCCTTCCGAATACATTTGTTGAACTTTTGGGGTCATTCCCTCTAACCTGATACAAAAATGCCTCGAAGGATGGAGATCCTCGTGCTTTTTCGACATTTGTAGATCTTGTTAACTGATCAATCACACTCGGTCACGGCCTGCAGACCACGAATGCACGTGGTCACGCGGCTCCGGAAAACGCCGTGAATGAGTACGACCGTCTGTTGAGACCTTGAAGCCCTTCTTCCCTGACTTTACACACGCGTCTCCCTCTCACAAGACAATGAACCTCGAAGACCACTGAATTTCCGTCAAGAGTTTGGGGTATACTGCTTTGCCACACCGTGGGCGGCGAACGCCCCCCTGTGTTAACGACTCACAGCACTGGCCATCTTTGGCCGACATATCAATCCTCCGGCGGCAGCATGGCATGGTCATCCACAGCCACTCAGGTTACATCTCAGGCGTGCGGGGGGTGGGGGGGGGTTTGGGGGGGGTTGTGGGGAGGGGTGGGGCCATGGGTATTTTCATCAGTCTGGCCCCTGCATCCTTGCGTGTCGCAAACACAACACGAAAAAATTCTCAGGAGGCGACTCAACTTGTACTAACACAAAAGAATAAGAATGCTACATTCGCAGACACTGGCACGGGCACCTCAAACCCTCTACAACAAGGTGAGACGCATCGCCGCGTTAGCGCCTCTTCGAGGCCACGCTCAGCCGCGCAGAGGCGCCCGCCTTGAATCTTTGAATCTTGAAGATGAAGCGTTACATGCTGGCAGGCCTCATAGCAACCTCACATCCCGTCGTCCCGCAAGGAAAGTATAGGCTTGTGCTCCCAACATGTGTCTTCATACATAGTTCTGAATACCAAGATTCATCTCCCTTCTTGAACAACATGTGGGCGAGTGTGGGCTGCTGGGTGCCAGGCCCATCACCCAGCAAGGTCTGCGACCAACACCTTGTAGCCACCAGCCGCGTGCTCTCGCCAGTGTTGGTACCTCCACAAAGGTTTAACCATCTTTCCATGCTGCTGGAGAGAAAAATAAGGACACCTTATGTAAGCAGGGCGCTTAGTCCTAGCAAAGCCTGACAACCTTCACTAACAAAAAACAAAAAACATTCGCTTCAACTCCTGAATCTTGTGTTGGACATCTCTGGGCTAGCAACCTTGATTCCGACGCTTCACGATGTAAACCCTGCGAGGATACCGACAGACATTCACATTGTAATTGGCCAGCATCATACTATAGTGTCGTGACGGATGCAAGTACAGTTAGAATTTCAACGCAGGAGGCGGACTTTTGTTGCGCATTCTGCCCCTTGGAATGCTGCTCCCCACCCTGACAAATCGGCCCAAGCCCAAACTGTTTCAGGCACTAGGGGTTTTCAGGATTTAGACCCCCCAAACCCAAGTCTAAACCCGAATTGAATCTGAGCCTTGAACTTTGAACCCGACTCAAGGCTTGTGAGTACCTACCTGCGGTTTAGGGGGCCACTTCAGGGGGCCAGTCGCGGCTCACAGACCGTTAAGAGCTTTGAGAATACAGCCATACACAGATAACCCGACACTCTAAACCTCTTCACAGACCACCTGAATTTGTTGAACCCTAAGACCTAGATAACAATCCGAAGCGCCCCTTCCCGAATGATGCTTGCCACACTCTTGTCTACCATGTTGGCCCAAACCCGAGATACTTGTGCAACCCGCTCAGTCTCAACACTAAGCCCTACCTTCAACTCTTAAGGCTTGAGTCTGTGAGGTTCGGCGAGTGGGGCGGCATCGGATCATCCACCCTAAATCTAAGTTTAAAGCATAGTTACTCTAAGTACCGCCCTAAACACTACAACTCTAAACCCTCAAACCCTAACCCTAAAGCCGTATATCCACCAAAGCCCCTAAAGGCCTAAAGCCTGCAGCCAAAAGCCCGAAGCCAAAAACAAAATACCCGAGCCACTTAAGGTTTGGGGTTTAGGTTTAGGGCTTAGGGTTTAGGGTTTAGGGTTTGAGGGGATATTGGCATCTACTTCCCAGACTCCTCCCCCAACCTGTGGTGGAGTCGAAGATCAAAAAGATTGCTTGGGCCCTGGTTTCAGAGCTCGAAGCCCGAAAAGCCTAATGTATAAGTCCTAGGGTTCAAGACTTAGGGTTTGACCCTAGGGTTCAGGGCTTAAGGCTTAGGGGCTTGGAGCTCTGTGAGACAAAAGCCGGAGAACTGCACATCGCCGAACTCCTCTCTTCAAGAGGCGCTGAGTCAAAGCAGAACAGAACAGGCGGTGCTTTGGCGCATCACCGCCTTAAGTAACTCCGGCGTGGCAAGACATCTCAAACCTAGGAAACTTGAAGAGCCGACAGGAGAGAAAACCACCCTGTTTGTTTATAGAGCGCTAGTTGCGCGCAACAACGCACGATGATTGTAAACGTGTCGGCCATTGTTTTAGGGACGCCATGATGTCGTCCGCAGTGAATTTCCAATGGGCAAGGCCTCAAAAGAGCACATTCACATCTCCCGCGCACAGTCTTGTGGCAACACCAGAACCCTGCAGTAACATAAGGGGTCACCCTTTTGTTGAGAGGACCCAACCGTTTAACCGACCCAACCCCTAAACGAGGAGCGGGTCCGCTTTGGGTCCTTGGAGGATCGGGGGGACTTTCGAGTTGTACGTACCCTAAACGGGTCCCCAATTGGGTTCTCCTACTTAACCCTAAACCCTAGACCTTACTTCTTCCAACAGATCATAATAGTTCCTCAAGGTCCTGACCCTACCAAGCCTCTTCAGTCTTAAGTCACGAAACCCCTGGTCGCTAAACAGGTTCGAGTTGAGGATTTTATGGGTGTATAGGGTTTATAGGTGTACAGGGTTTGTAGGATGTATAGGGTTTATAGGGTTTATAGGGTGTCTAGGGTTTATGGGGTTTATAGGGTTGATAGGGTTGATAGGGTTTAAAGGGTTCATAGTTTATAGCTTTTATAGGGGGAGCCCTAAACCCAGGGGCGAGGTTTAGTAGTAGTAGTAGTAGTAGTAGTAGTAGTAGTAGTAGTAGTAGTAGTAGTAGTAGTAGTAGTGGTAGTGGTAGTGAGTAGTGAGTAGTGAGTAGTGAGTAGTGAGTAGTGAGTAGTGAGTAGTGAGTAGTGAGTAGTGAGTAGTAGTAGTAGTAGTAGTAGTAGTAGTAGTAGTAGTAGTAGTAGTAGTAGTAGCAGTAGTAGCAGTAGTAATAGTAGTCGTCGTCGTCGTAGTAGTAGTAGTAGGAATTGTTGTTGTTGTTGTAGCAGCTAGTAACAGTTAGTAGTAGTTCGTAATACTTAGTAGTAGATAGTAGTAGTTAGTAGTAGTCAGTAGTAGTTAAAGTAGTTAGTAGTAGTTAATAGTAGGTAGTAGTAGACTGTAGTAGTTACTAGTAGCTAGTAGTAGCTAGTAGTTGTTAGTCGTAGTTAGTAGTAGTCAGTCGTAGTTTTCAGGGTCCAGGGTTCAGGGTTAGGGTTCGGGCCCAAACTTTATACCCTAAACCCTATAAGCGTTTTGCGAGTTCACCTACTCTACTTTTCTTTTAAACCATGGTAGAGAAGCAGTGTGGAGCTTAACTCGCGTTTTGGACTCCTGCGGGGTTTGGGTCTAGGGTTGAGGGTTCGGAAGAAGATCCATCGGCTGCGCCCGGTTCGTGGCCCGACGGACCAACTCTTGCACGGCATCATGCCCCTAAGTTCAGCTGGAGCAGCAGCATACTTTAAGGCTTATAAGGCCCACAAAAACCCTAAACTCTATGCATATCTTAGCTTGCAGAAACTCAAAGCCACTGAAACGACCACAAGAATTCTTTTGGGCTTGCAGTAGGGCAGGGTTCAGGGCGATGGTCCAGCCAAAGTCACTTTTCCAACGCACCGGCTGTATGTTGAAAGCCTCGGGCGAAACCGAAGAGCCACTGTTTCAGTTAATCGTCCACGACCAAGAATGGCTCCCAAACGCAAACAAAAAGCGCAGAATCACTTTCCGCATCCGTCCCGCTATGTAGCCCGCCCTCCCCCCCCCCTCCCGCCCGAGTTCAAAATGATTTCAATTCCACAAGATACCTGCCAATTCCAATTCATCCGCGCATAAAAACAACGAGGCGCGCAGATTCGGGCACCAAGAACGCACTGTTCTTGTGAGTGATGGTGCGCAATACTTGTAGCTTGATAGAAGCAAGATCCGGAAGCCAAGCTGAGACTTCGAAATGCTTGAATGTGAAACCCAGAAACAAACTGGAAAGTGGTGACTTGCAGACTGCTGTTTTGTTTAAAGGGCTGCATGGCAAATTTGCGGAAGGGTAGGGTTTCTAAGGTTGACCTGCCGGTCCGGCGTAAGCAGTGCAGCAGTTGCTCGCAGAACGGCCACAACACACACCTACCCTGAAAAAGCCCGTACCCTGCAGTGTACATTGCTGATGCTTGAAAGACCAAGTCTCAGGAGGAGGATTGAAGAGCCGCCAGGTCCGTGCTGGTCGGCTCCTCCAGAGTAGCAGGTGGTATGACATAGGAATAGAAACGTATACGGGGTCGTGTTCGGTTCTCGATACCTCTGAGCGGGAAGTGGCTCACACTCGACATGCAGCTGGACAGCAGGCCTGGATGAAGGCCTTCGCGCGGTCGCAAGGCC